TTTCTCAAGAAAGTTTTCTTTCCATTGCGTTGTTTTCACCTTATTTATCGAGATTTTGTACTCTTATTCTTGCACCGTTTCTGCCATCGTACTGTAGTTGCCGGTAACAAAGTTCTGGATTTTGCGGGTGGGATGGTCAAGATTTTCGTGAAGAGTAGGAACTTCAGGAGCATAGTGTCCATGAGTAGCAGTTGATAGTGCCAACTTTCTTTTGACGAGGAAATGCAACCCGTGCAGTGCTAAAAGGATGGTAGAGTATTTCATGGAAATCAGTATCGTGAGCAACGGATAGGTGAACAGGGAAGCTTATATCACCAATGTAAAGCAGTGGTCTTCACACTTAAATTGTCCACGAGTCAACTGGTAGATTTTTGTTCCCAGTTTCTTGAAAAGCGATGACATCGCACTTGATGCGGTGTTTGGCGCCTGTATGAATGTGAAGGCTATGCACCAAAGAGGTTAAACGAACCTATGTGTACACAATCGGAAGCAGCCTACCTAACATACGACTTTGCAAATCCAGTTGTGCATTCGGTTTCAACATGTCAAACGCTAGTCATAAATTCTCTGGAAATCGAAGGTCAGACACGAATGTCATTCATTGGGGCCAGAAAGCGAATTGTCATTTTACTACTAGGCTGCAACCAAAACGGGTGTGATTGCTGTTACGAAACAATATGCCGCGAATTTTTCCGACCAACTGCTCGAAGAGAACGAAACAAAGATCCACTAGTATCACTATACATGGTTTTATTCCATTATATGTATAACGTTCTTATCCGAACCACCAATTAAATTTAATGTAAGGCTTAAAGGCATTGTTAGTACTGACACACCTTTTTCGATAAGAGCTAAAGATTTCGGATTAATCCCTGAGAGATGTGCAAATCCATCCATGGTGTCGCAGAGGTGGTTGAATGCATATTTGGGTTATAGAACTTCTGGTGGCGTAGTGATACATCGAGTCAGTGCTGTTGTCGTACTCTAAAAGTGTTGTTCTAATTTCCTGACCTCGGAGAGATGGAAGGCTCGGTGAGCACTGCACGCAGGTTCAAACAAATGACCGCGTGTATTCCAGGGCGTCTTCGCTACATTAGTGTCTTTACAGACATAGCTTTGCCAATAAAAGTGTCTTGGCGTTGACAAATCTGTACGGGTGGCACTATACGTTCGACTTTATCATGCGTCAGAGGTGATTGAATGCATGTCTGGTCTACACACTCGATGGTCTACCAATGTGTCCGGTTACTACTGCCCTTCCTCCCAGACAAGTCTTGTACCAGTTTTTCGATACGCGTAGTTTATTTCTGTGTTTCATGGTTCCATGCACTGCAAAGAAAGCGCGTTTTACGTTTTTCATGTTTTGATAAATAAGTGTTAGTTGGATGACAGTAAAGAAGAATGGCAAAAATTCGGACGCAGTACTAGCCTGGCAAAAGGTCGTCTCTCGTGCGTACTAGTGGGTCTCCTCAGATCGCCGACTGACTCCTTGTTCGAGCTTGCGTCTCGCCGGAGATGTTCGGCGAACTGGTCACGACGTTCTCCCGCTGAACTGGAACTGGTTGCCAGAAACGCCCCCACCTATCCTCACGCCGCTTATCACTGCTGACAACCTGCTTTCTACAAGTTCATGGCGCATCTTTATCCACCAATCTATTCCCTCGCAAAGCCCAATATTTTGCATTTTCTGTAAAGCTGGAATTTTTCTAATAAAACACTTTAAGATTCTGCTTTAGTTCTACCTCATTCTCACGACAGCTCAATACAACATATTTTCTAGCTGTTTTGCATTTAACTTGGAAATATGTCATTTTTCTTCTCATACTGTGAATTTAATTCTTGGACCACATATCTCATCAGACTTTCACTTAGTACTTTTCTTCCTTCTATTTTTTTCACTCATGGACCTCCATCAAATGAGAGATCTCGATCGGCTTAGTCGTGACGCTATGTGGCGCCTCTCCATGAGGCGGATAGAGGGTTAATCGAAAACCAAAAACGACCTTTGCTTCCCCGAGACGCGGGTGGATCCAGAATATGGACACCCTCTTTCTGCTGCGTCCATTTGGCACCTACTTTCTGTATTTGTTAGGCTTATTCATGCATGCGTGTGAGGCTGCGTTCTCGCTTATGCGGATTGTATTGTATGAGTCAATTCGGTCAAAAGCCTGCAATCAAGTGACTGGGAAGTATATGGGAGGCGGTTAGGAGTCGCCTCCAACAAACAAGCTCCATGTCCACTCTAGGAGAGACTGGCAACCTAGTCGTGAGTATACCCAACTCCTACGTCCACAGCTCAGCAAGCTATATGTGGGTATCAAAAAGCTAAACACAGTAAAATAAACGGGCCTCATTCCCCTGACCACGAAAGAGCCCCTGATTCGGCAGCGTTGGGTACGACGTGAACGGAGAGGCTGTTAAAATCTTGGGGCCACTCTAAGTTTTCCAAATCGCGAAGGACCAAGGTGAGGATCTACAAAGCACGCAACTCTATACCTGAGTCCTCGGTAGGAGACTTGATCATGAGCATGAAGGGTAATGCACGACGTTATCGGACTAGTTGAGACGAGAAGATGCTACAAATTCAACGCCGTTACACCGTTTATGACACTGGAGAGGAACTGTTCCGCAAAATATAAGACAGTAGAGAGGTCGCCAGCGTTGGTGTTTCGTCAGCACGAGTTTGACCGTGAATGCCGAATCATTCGAACAACTAAGAATCTGAATTGGACGTCTACGGTTGAGGAAATGTCAACCAATACCGGCTTTGACAATCTTCGTCGTCTACGCATCGGCATCAAATTATGACGAAGAAGAAGTCGAAGAGTTAGTTCTATGTGGAATTGCAGAAGTTCTATGGAGAAGACCACACATTCTTCAAGGCCATCATTGGAGACTTTAAAACTAATAGTGGACCCAGAAGAACGTCACATTGGGACACACGAATCACAATGGAGTGAGCGGAATGAGCGGCTGTTTAGTTTATCATGGCGACCAAGACCATTCATGGTAATTCGCATTCCCAGAAGCCCTACCCTCAACGCTGGACGTGGGAGTTTCTAATGGAGAGTTCCATAACGAAATAGACCATATCATAAATCGTAAATCGTAGGCTTTGCCTAAACAATATTGCTGTTGTTCCACAACACTACGAGTGATCCGACCATCGCATCTTTTGTGGAAGATTTAATTTCTCGCTGGAAGGAGAAAAAGCCGTTAAAAAGCGAAGCCCCAGAACCACCATAAACTGGCCAATTACAAGATTAAAATGGCTACACTCCGATGCTCAGGCGGAGCGGTTACAGCGTCCAGAAAGACAATGGAAAAAATCATGCACGATTAGTACTCAGAGCTGTTCAATAGCCACGTCCTTCTCCTCTCACATATAATAAAGGATGATCGATATGTCGTACCAGCGGTTCTCCCTTCTGAAATCCCACATGCTATTTCGGCGGTGAAAAATCGAACAGCACTAGGCTCGGACAGGAGAAGAGTTGAACACCTGAAGCGTCTTCCGCCAGTCTTCGTAAACACGCTGGCTCGGTTCTTTACACGTTACCTGTCTGAATGTCTCAGTGGAATAGCAACAAGACCACAATACTGTTCGAGAAGGCTGGGTGACCACCGCGATATTAGCAACTATAGTCCAATCTGCTTGCTGTCTATCGTCTGCAAACTTTTCACTGGAGTCATCCTAAAAAAAAGATTCAGTATGATGGACCACAACAGCATGATAATAAAATTCATTGAAGACCACGCTGTCTTACCTTCATCGATTTAGAAAAGCCTCAAAGAAGGCTCACAAAGGCAGCTTTGTCTCACCTTCGTCAGTGAAAGAAAGGATTTTGACACAGCCGTCATGGAAGGCCTGGACAGCCGGGAAGTCCCTAAAGGATTCCTCGTGAGCTGTGTAAAAATTTTACAACCAGCATATCTCTATACTACAGCGATATTAACATCGACGTTAAAATAATGTTAGGCAAGGCGATAGCATATCGCCAAAATTGTTCACCTCCGCCTTTGAGAACGTCGTGAGAACATTGGATAGGGATAATATGGAAATGAAAATCGATGGGCGGCAATTATAGCTATCGCTTTGATGATAACATCGTTCTTGGAACACTAAACGTTAGCCAGAGGGAATGAATGCCTACCGACTTTGACAAAGTCTGTGGAAAAATTGGTGTTCAACTAGATATCACAAAAACGGTGTTCATAACGAACTGCCTTTTCAAATGAACGGTACTTCCTGCCCTGACGTATGTGTCAGAAACCTGGTCGCTGCGTGAGCAGTATGAAAGATCACTTAACGTTATTGAACGCGAAGTCTAAAGGACGATGCTAGGAGTACCCCATTTCACACAAGTAAGGGATGGGATCCGAAGCTCCGACCTATGTCAACGATCAAAAATCGAAGTTGCCGTTCTGTATGCCAAGCTGTCGAAGATAAGGTACGCCGAACACGTAATGCGTATGAACGACAATGGATGCATAAGCGCCGTTGGTCACTGGATTCCTCGGTATGTCAAAACACTCTTGGACGACTACCAATGGTCCGAGTCCACCGACCCGATGGTCGGAGTTCTTCACAAAGGGCTTGGAATAAAGCTATGATGCTGAACGAGTCCTTATAACGAGCAGAACCGACTGGGTTACTCTTGCACGCGATAGTGAAGGATGGAAGATTTACTGGCGCCGAGTCTAGCCAGTCAGTGATCAGTGGCGCAACAGGTGATACAGGTGATTTGTTTTTTCTGCAGAGCTAACGAATGTTTTCTAACTCGAAAGAGCGACTTTCTATAAACCTCGGCATAGATAGTTGATATATTTATTTATGTGATCTTATAAACTGATCTTCTTAAGCTGGCACGAGGTTGGTACAGGTCTTCGTTGTCGTTGTCGTTGTTTTTGATGTTATTGATCGATGGCGGATTTTTCGCCTATTTTGTTATTTTGGTTTAATCGACGTTAATCAGACTATTTTGAATTTTCTCTAGAAGATGCCGGATAGAGCGACATTGGTGACATTCTGCTCGATTTCTATCAGCATCGGAATGATTGCCGTTTGTGGAATTATCGCGAATATCATCTGCAGTGACATCAGCGACTTTTACGACGCTTCTATGAAGGAGTTCAAAGCCTTTCAGGTTTGTCATTAACGAGACACTCACCACAAGTGAATTTGGTTGTAGCCTTAGATGCCCTGTCCAGCAATGTAGATAAATATTAGGCATAAATCTTTTAGTGTTTGAAAAAAACCAAACCGCTTTTTAATGAATTATGAATTGAAAACAAAACAATTTTCAGGTCAGCTAGAGAAATCAAGAATGCACTGTATGGCGTCGTAAAGGTTTTTTTGTCATGAAATAAGCATCTGACAGCGGTTTGAAGAAAATGAACGTTGCATTTCACGTTCAGGATGGAAGTAAAGTATAAAGTGAAAAGTCGTAGAGCGACGCCGTTCAGCTGAAACTCAGCGCTGCGTTTTCATGTGAATGTCCTTCTAATCTACCTCCTTCGCTTGTGAGATGACCTACTGCCGTAGGAGCTTGACATTCAGTCATCCACCTATTTATCTATCGTATTCACTTATTTTAGTAAGCAGTTTTTAACATATCCATTTGATCATTGTTTTCGTCTAGCCAAGAACCATGTAACACAACGAGAATTTCCTTCGCAACCACCAATACCACGAGTCAGAATATTATCCCTGCAAATATAATTCTTTCTAAGCACCACACGCTAACAGGAACACGTGAAAATGCGATAATCATAAGATAAAGCCAGTTTCAAGTGGAACACCGGCTTCGATATCGATTACACAACAAGGCTGAGTGTTCTTCAATGTGCCTTCCTTCATGCCTTACTATGAAACGAACAATTCACCTTAAGATTCTCACTGATGATGCGTGGACGGAAGTGGTAAACATGGAAGTTCAGCCTTCTGAAGAGCTCACATTCATCAATTTCATTAATAGGACGAAGAGAAACAGCGAAGTTCCAGATTTTTGCAGTAGGTTTTTTATACAAAATAAATATACAGGTATGAAAAAGATTTTTCCGTGAGAGGTTCTTTGACTCTGCAAGGCTGAAGTTGAACATCGTTGAGCCGTCTAAAGCTACTGCATAGGTAAAAAATGCAATCAATCACTCTTACGATGCTTAATAGTGTTTAGTGCTTAACCCTTTGCCCCTTCTCTACGTTCGACAACTAAAATATGCATCACAATGCTTTAACTTTTACCTACGGACTATTCTTCATGGTAAGGTACAATATGCAAACCACCACAATGATGCTAAGGTATGAGCAAAACTCGAGACCCCACGTGGATTTCGTCCGTCAACGGGAATGATCTGGAGAGCATGAACTGATATTGAGCTAAACCAGTTAAACTGGGTGCATTGGAAACCACAACGTTTTAATTTTTGTTTAATGCCTATTCTTTCTTCACGGTTCTTGCTCATAGCATGCTTGATACAGGTGATTGCTGATAGCATAGATAGAGTAAGAACAACGCTGAGAGAAAGCAGAGACCTCGATTGCTGTGGTGGATAACCCGTGAGCCTTTGATAGGGATAATCGTGGGTTCGAAGCCCACATATTCTTTGGAGTTTTGCTCATATATCAACACTGCTGCTGTTGTACTTCATAAAAAGCTTACACTTAGGAGCAGTCCAGGTAAACTAAGATTAGAAAGCAACCGTGTAGCAATTACCAGAAGAACTGGGTACCAATTTTTATAGCTGTAACATAGTTGGCAAATTAGAGCAGCAAAAAATAAGTGAATAAATAAGCGAAGCAGCTCGTTAAAACGGGATTTACTAGCCGCTTTTCTGAACATGGCATAACGTAAGAATAGCACATTTTAACAACCAACGGTATAAAAATACATTGCTTTTCAGGCTGCATTCAGGAGTCTGTGTGCCCTCCTGGTCCGTCAGGCTCACCGGGACTCGATGGTGAAGATGGAGGTGGGAGATTAGCAGCTACTTACTTTTCTGTCTCGTTTCATTGAAAAATGACATTCACAATGTTTAACGTTTTGTTTTCTGCCTTCTATAATTTTCATGGCAGGTTACTAAGCGAAATACAACCACAACGTTGCTGAGATTGAGGACCAGCATGGTGTGGTGGTGAACGCGTTACACCCTGGAAAGGACAATAGCGCGTTCGTTCCCCACCATAGACACCTGCGGTCCAGAGTTTTGCAAATATCTCAGCAACGTTGTGGTTGACATTCACAATGTTCATTATGGTCTTTCGTTCATAAGATAAGCGTAATGTATTATTATTATTCTAATCCACATAGTGTCTATTTTCAACTATTCAAAATGTTTCCAACTTCCGAAAAACTTTCTTAGAAAATTAAAGAGACATAGGGCATAGTCTTCCAGTACCTGGTGTACCTGGACCGTGCGGTCCTGATGGAATAGACGGGAGTCTCCAACTCAATTACAGCAGTGAAACAGGTTGTATACTGTGCCCTGCAGGACGTTAGTCTCAGTTTTTCTTTGTTTTTGTTTTTAGACCCAGTTTACATCTTAAAAGTTATTCTGAGCCTACTTTTTCAACGATGACCACATTAAGCTACTTGTTTCAGCACCTGGTCCTCGTGGACAGCCTGGTCCGCCTGGACTGAGAGGTCCAACAGGCCTTGACGGAGCCCATGGAAAGAGTTTATACGTTCGAAGCAAACCAGGACCAGCTGGTCCTCCAGGAGATCCTGGTCCACCCGGTTCGCGGTTTTTTTTAAGCTATCGCAGTGCTTTTTAGAAAACAGATTAATCATATGTTAGACTTAATAGTGCTATTAGGCCATAAAGTATGAAATGTCCGATTTGAAATGCAAATTTAAGCAACTATAATTTTTTCATAATAACTTTTATTAATCGAAATAAGCATTATTAGAATCAATACAAAGGGTGATAGCCGAGGAGAGCTCTGGTGAACGTGGCGGATGAGGCAAAGTTCCGTAGCCCTACTCGTCCAACTTTTGCAGCGCCGGTTCCACAACGTGAGGCCTTGCGTTGTCGTGGAGAAGAATTGGTTCTTTTCTGTTGACTAGTGCTGGTTGATGTTGTTCGAGTTTCCGGTGCATTTCGTCGATTTGTTGGCAGTACTTCTCTTCCGTAATCGTTTCGCCCGGATTCAAAAAAGCGTGTTGAATTAGTCCGGCTGCAGGCCACTAAATTGTCACCGTAACCTTTTTTGGTGCCATTTCCGCTTTGGGAAGCGCTGTGGAGCCTAATCGCAATCCAACCGTTGAGGTAAACGTCGCCAATTGTCGCACAGAGTCCAACCATCGTCGCTCGGAAATCACAATCAGGTCAAGAAAAAGGTCGTTCTTGTTACGCAGAATAAGAGCAGAACACTCTTCAAAATGACGATTTTTTAAATTATCGTTTAAATCGTGCTGCAGCCACTTGTCGAAGTGTTTGGCTTTGCTATGTGAGTAAGTGTAAATTGTTCTTGTGCTTATGCCATGCCGTGGTGTAACCTTTCGAACAGTTGATCGCGTGTTGCTTCCACTAGTGCCATCAATTCATCGTCGTCAAGTTCAGCGGGACGTCCGCTGCCTTCCTTAACTTCGAGGTCAAAATCACTAGATCAGAACTTCCAGAACCGTGTTCGCACTGTTGATTCACCAACACTACCTTCACCCCAAACGTGATGACACTGCGAGCTCTTGCTGTGGCATTACGTCCACTCTTCCATTCGTACAAAAAGCGGACACGAATATCACGTTGATTCATTCTAAAGGTAAAATCTAGTAAAATGTTAAAATAATAAAACTTGAGGAAAGCAGTAGTAAATGTAGGAAGAGCAGACTTTGCGCTTTAAAAATATGCATTAATCGTATGTGAAAAATAAAATTTTTATTTAAAAGAAACTACAAGGAAAATTGAAACAATAAAATCGAACATTTCGTATGTACTAACCTAATATCTTCTGTGATCAATTTTCATGTACAATACCACGTATTTTTGCACGTGAGTAGCGCAGTGGTAGTGATTCCGCTTATCGTGTGGCCAATTCAAGCTGCACAGCCGGTGATTTCATCCCGCGCTAGTCGCAGCATGCCTCTAACCTCTCTGGGTTCGCAAAATTGGCACCGAACTTGTTTGGAACAAATTAGTTACCTGTAATCCACGTGGAAGCATCCTAGCATGGCTACTTCAGAACTCCAGGAATATTTGCATTGACTAACATTCAACGATGTTCGTGACGAAGAAAAAAATTCTCAAACAATCGCTTGATGCTTCCGATGCTGATGATACTGGATGATGCTGAGATATTTGCAAAACTCCGGACCACTGTTGTCTGCAAAAGGGAACGAACGCGCTACTTTCGTTTCCGGGCGCTAGAGCTTTCACCACCACACCATGTGACTAGCTCGTTTCGCCTTTCTCTCAGCCGTGTTATTGACTTATAGGTGCAATCAGCTATAAGCAAGTTTTGCAAATATCTCAGCATCATTAGGGTTATAGGTTTCCGGCCTACCAAGCCTTCCATCCCTCCTGGGTCGGCTAATTTGTACCAGACTTGTCTGGGAGGATAGCAGCTGTGGCTCAATACATCGGTGGTAAATGCCAGATATGCAATCACCTCCAAACGATGCTTAATGAAGTCGAATGCATAGCGCATGCCTCAGGATTGATCAACGTCGAGAGCTTTGTTCTTTTATCCTTTTTATTATTTTCATGACAGGGCATTATGTGAATTACAATCCTTATGATGCTGACATGTTTGCAAAACTTCGACTTCAAGGCAGATCGAACTCGATTAAAGCTTCCGAGGAGGCTCACGTGTTACACACGGCACCACTAAGGCCCTCGTTCTGCCTTTCTCTCAGCCAGGATTTATATCCCAGGATAAGTCAACAAAACTGTTTTCCGGCCTTCATCGTAGGCTCCCATCAGCTTTAGCACTTTGAACTAAGCTCTTCCCAAGTAAGTCTTGTACCACTTCGCCTACCCGGGAGGTGAAATTCTTTGTTCACTCGCTAGAACCAGCCTCAATGGATGTATTGCACGGCATTTCTGATCACCGCGCTTTTAACGTCCTAGTTTTATAATTTTCCTCCTACATAACCCGACATTACATCGTGCGGATCCTAGCGCTTCTTGAATTTTTGTCGTTTCTTTTCAACCAACATTCGTATAGTCTTCATATTTTAAGCATAAGTTCGACTAGCTTTTAAAATTACTGGTCTTCTTTTGTCAATTCCATCGTATTTTGGTCGAATCGATTCACCCTGAAACCTGGGCTGGCCATGGTAGGACTTTGCAAGACTTCGTCACAGGCACATTTATGGATTGGAGAGAGCTTCCTAGAAAACCTTGGTGGCATGTTCAGACTCTGGAGAGATGAAGGCCTAGAAGTCTAAGTGCAGGTGGAACCAGGACTTTGCCCGGATTGAACGAGATCACTACCATATTCGTCTTATGCACCCCTTTATCTGCAATAGTTGTACTAAATGAGCGAATGCATGCGTATCTTACGAACTTCTCTCGTTTAGCTGACTCGATGTTGGTATCAGCTGTTGTTATTGTTGTTGCCGTGGTTCGATGGGCGACGTTTCAGCGATTTCGGCTTCTTCACGCCTTCTGGAGGAATTCTATGTAGCGATAGCCAAATAAATCGGTGAAATATCTGTTATACTGATGAAGACCTACCATAAAAATAAGCACCATTCAGTTTAAAACCACTCACCATTTTGTTAGGTGAGGGACCAGCCGTATGTATTGTTCACGTGGGATGACGAGTGAGGCCCACCTAGATCAACAAAACGCATTTGAAATAAGACGCCAGGTCAGGAGTGATAGCGAGGCACTCGTCTCTCCGATTCACCTTTGGACTTTTGAAATTCATCCAAAACGTCTCAAGAGTCTTGCGCGTTGATGTTTTCGATTCACGCGCTGGGATCCGGACAATCACTTCAAAATAATTACCGTTCTGCTTTTGTACCTCATGAGTATCCAGAGGAGTGCTTTATCAAATTCTAACTTTTCCATCTAGATGTTCTTTTATGCGACATGAGGTGTCTACCCAATTCTCCAATACAATTCCTTCACCGCACGGTTTACATGAAATTAAGTATATTGTACTTGAACTCTCACAACCCCTGCCTCTTCCGTCAGGACAGGTTACACAATTTTCTGAGCTGCCGAAACGATCACTGAGACCACAACGTTGCTGAGATATTTGCAAAACTCTGGACCGCAGGTGTCTATGGTGGGGAACGAACGCGCTATTGTTCTTTCCGGGTAGTAACGCGTTCACCACCACACCATGCGGGTTCTTCGTTTCGCCTGTCTTTCAGCTTTGGTCTTTGCCACAGCAATCACCCATTGGCGGGATTTTCCCCACCATAGACACCTGCGGTCCAGAGTTTTGCAAATATCTCAGCAACGTTGTGGTTGTATTTCGCTTAGTACCCTGCCGCGAAATTATAGTAGGCAGAAAATAAAAAGGTATAAAATTGTGATCACAGAGACCGTTGCGAGCTAACTGCCGTGGTAGGGTATTGGGTTGGAGATCAATATCCCACATAACCTTCAAGACAACTTCTAAGGCACCTCTTGATGGCGTAATTTAATTCGTTTGATTCAAAGAATAGTTTGAACGGAACAATATTTAAGTTTAAAACGTTGTTTTGGGGCGTCATCACACTTTTGATCTGATCCGAGTGTTCTTGTTTCGCAGCCATTGGAAACGCCTATTTTTTGTGTTAACTTAAGCAATTCTTTTCTACCCATTCGACACTTGCTTCTGACAGCTGGTTTTTTCATGTGCGAAAGACGAGAGGCGATGTAGTGCAGTAGTACATTTTACTACTTAGTTTTTGATCCCTTTTCTTGCTCTAGACACTTTCCAAAAACTTTATTTTAAGGTTTAAGAATGAAAGGCTGCTCTTGGTTGGTTTCTCTCTTATAAATTTTATGCACTTCGACTGTATATTAAACAATTCAAAGCACTTGCCCTTCTGTATTTTTGTACAACAGACAATGGAGTAGTCGTCTATGTATCGCAAGTAGAATTCGGTTATCAAGAACTGCAGCTATCACCCTATACATGAAGGCGGCGGCAAGGCATAGTGCAGAACAGATGGATAGGCGTTTTCAACTGTTGAAAAGACAGTTAGAGTATATAAAATTTACGCGAGGAAAACCAAGTGAGAACTGGCTTCCATTCCTAAACAATCAAGTAAGGCTTTCAGAAAGTGGATACATCAGAAAACGATATCCAAAATTAAGTAGTACGAACCACCAATACACCTCTCCTCTCATCCTTCACACATAAAAAACAGTTACCAAAAACGTGTACGAAAGGCTAAAAATTTGTGTACAGGAGAAGAGAAAGGAAGGAATTGCTAAAGCTGGCGCTGAAAATAGCCACTTCCAACGACTACGAAGCAGAAGGTACTCGGATTAGATAAAAACGTAAAGTAGTCCCCCAAAATAATGCTTTGGACGTAAGTAAGATCCCTTTTAAGCTACCCTTCATTTGAAACAAAATAAGTTAAGGGTTGCCTAAGTAGTCGTCTTGAGAATTCTGTGTCAGTTATTAAACCCTAATATAACACTTTACGACAACAGTTAGCTCGCAACCGCTTCTGTGATCGTTCGAGTGGCTTAGGAAATTTTTTGACCTGTCCAGACAGCAGAGACAGATACTACGTGGGCTCAGGTGCACTATACTTAATCTCGTGTAAAGCATGCGGTGATGAATACATAGGGGAAACGAATAGACCACTTTGTGTCCGCATAAAGAAACATCTAGATGGGAAAGTTAAAATTTGACAATGTACTGCTCTAGGTACCCAAAGGGTACAGAAGTACAGTGGTGGCGATTTTGAAGTGACTGTACAGATCCAAGCTCGAGAATCAAAAATATCAATGCACGAGACTCTAGAAGCGTTTTGGACAGATTTCAAAAGAGCAAAGATGAACCACAAAGCTGAGTGCCTCATAATCACACGTGATCTAGCTCCTTTTCTTCAAACTGGTTTTCTGACATGGGTGGCTCCCACTCGTCATCCCACATGGGCAACACGCGACTGCTCCCACACACAACAAGGTCAGTAGTTTTTTCGAGAAAATGGCGTCCATTTCTATGTTAGATCTTTATTAGCACTACGGACATTTCACCGAATTATACGACTATCGTTACACCAAATACGTCCAGGATCTGAAGAAGTCGAAGCCGCCGAACTGTCAGCCATCGAACCACAGCAACAACAGCAACAACAAATGATACTAACCTCACGCGAGCTCAACAAGGGCAGTTCAGAAGACTATGTTTACGTAAATCGATTATTTATGCCGAGGATTATAGAAAGTTGCCCTTCTGAGTTATATACATATCGCCAAAATGCCATAGAAAGTAAATCACTCTCATAAAAATATTTAGACACTAAAACGTTCCAGGTCTCGACGGACCTCCAGGATTTCCTGGATATCCAGGGAGAGATGGCGTCCGTTACATACAACAGACAGGACCTCCTGGAATGCCTGGACCACGTGGTCCTCCAGGTCCACCTGGTCTTAATGGTGTTGCTGAAGAAGGACCTGATGGGTTACCCGGTCTGCGAGGCAGGCCTGGATGGCCCGGTATGCCAGGACCTATGGGCAAACAAGGCCCGGTAATACCATATGTTTGCTTACATTAATCCTTTAACACTAGAACAGATTTCTAGGAACTTAGCTTTGGTTCAAATTTGCCATCTAATTTACTAGTACGGACGGATGACTTCAATGTGGTCGTGTAATAGTTAAAATTCGCTCAAGCACTTGGCAACACAACAGTTCCTTATTTGAACAAGAAATAATTCTCTATATTCTAGTTGAGCCAATACGACGTGTTATTTTATCCTTTATTTACGCACAAGCCGACGTTTCGGCGGATTTGACCTTTCTCATAGCATAGGAAGGTCAAGTTAACCGCAATCTACCCAGCCAAACACTTCCATCACCAAACAGAGAAATTGCTAAACCAAGATTTAAATCACATTGAACACAGAATGGCTTCATCGCATACTTACCGCTTTCTGTGAGATTTCCACCGAATATGCCACATAGAGACCAACCCTACAGAGTTCACATATAGGAGGAATGTGCTTCTCACATTAAAATGACAGTTCCCAGGATCGACTTTCTCTTAACCTCGGCATTGGAATATGAATGTGCCGTTTTCTTGTTCGGCAATCGCGAGGTTTTAAACAGCATACATTTACTTCCATAAAAACACAATACAATACAACGCTAGCTGACGTTTCGGCAGTATCGCCTTCTTCAGAGCCGCTTTTTTGTGACTTCCAATTGACGACGTCAACCACATGCGACTATAATCAGCTGTTCTAAACTTCCTCATTACTGCGATACTGCCGAAACGTCAGCTAGAGTTGTATTGTATTGTGTTTCTCTGTGGAAGTAAATGTATGCTGTTTAAAAATCTCGCGATTGCTGAACAAGAAAACGACACATTAAAATTACAGTTTTAAACACTGTTCTACAGCATGCATGATTGTGAGGCATTCCTCCCTGCTTTTCATTTTCGGATTTTTAGAATTAATCCGGAATGCGTCGAGAGTTTCGCTCGCTTGTGTCTTCGATTCCTATGCAAAGATCGTAACTTCTACCTCAAAATCTTTTCGTTTACGTTTCTGTGTCCTTTGAACGCTTGGTAGAGTATACAGATTAATTTTACGGATGCAGGGTGCTCTACCCGTTTCGCTAATGTATTCGTCTCCGTATACTTTACGAGACATCGAATAAACTTCACCCAAACTCATGCAATCACCGTCCCAACGGTTAAGGCAAATTATGAAATTTTGCGTTGTACATAGACCGTTTTACAAGTGGTCCAGACCAGCTGTCTTCTTGTGGACTCTATCGTCTATGCACAACACAAGATTGCAAAATTTGCCCTAACAGTAGAGACGGTGATTGCACGAGTTCGAGTACAGTTTATCCGATGTGTTGTAAAAGGTGCGCGGACGAATACATTGGCGAACAAGTAGGCCACTCTGCGTCCTTATAAAAGGACATCTTGTCGGTAAACTTAAAGTTAAACGAAATACGCCACTAGCGGCGCATGGGGCACAGAGACATAGCGGAGATTTTGAAGTAGAGGTTACGATCCTTGCACAGGTGTCAAAAACACAAGAGCGCAAAATTTTCGAGGCCTTTTTCGAGATTAATTCCAACAATCCGAAAACAAAGTGCATGGAGAAATGCCTCATAATCGCGCGTGATATTGGACAGTATTTAAGACTGTTATTTTAATGTGAAAAGCATATTACGCCTCCATGTGAACTCTGTGCGGTTAGTGTCCACGTGGTATTCAGTAGGAGACTCACAGAAAGCAGTAAGTGTGCAGAGAAGCTATTCTGTGTTCAATGTGATTGAAATCTTGGTTTAGCGTTTTCTCTGTTTGGTTATGGAAGTGTTTGGCTGAGTAGATTGCGGTGAACTTGAGCCTTCCAGGCTCTGCAGAACGCGAAATTCGTCGAAACGTCAGTTTGGTCGTGAATGAAGAATAAGATAGCACCTCGTGTTTGCTCAACAAGAATACAGTGAATTATTTGAACAAGAAATATCTGCTGTAGAATGTTTTGACAACTCATGGACAAAATCTTGTTTGCATAAATAATGAATATCAAGCCAAGGAGAGATGGTGAGCATTAATGGGAATTAAAGCAATTGTGAATAGTTCAGGCTGGAACACCAGGCGAACCAGGGGTCGACGCTGAGTATTGCCCTTGCCCTCCACGCGGTTCTGGTAACATCCCACAGTCGGTCATTAGTAGCGGCTACGAAGTCGATACAGTTCTGACAGGTGGTTAGTGGTTATTAAATTCCGGATTTTGTTAAACTCGTCGTCTTTATAGGTAGTACATAGGCGTAGAAAATTCGAAGAAGCCTGAGTTAAACTATCAGTTTAACCAGCTGGTAAAACTTTTTGGTTGAGTCCGAAATGATGATTATGAACACCTACAAACAACTAAAGGTGGTGTCTATTAAACATTTACAGAACCGATTGTTCATCCATCTGCTACACAAATTTTCGAACATCACAACAGACTGAGGCCGGCAGAAACGTACGGAACTTTGCCTGAGAGAGTCGCGAACAGAAGAAAACAACAACGATATATTTAATTATTTAATAACTATTCCGCTAGTGTTCGTCCTGTATAAATAAGAGATTCCAGTGCTGTTTGTTTTAACGCAGTCTAGTTTTTTCTTCAACTTATAGAGATGAAATAGGCATTCCCTAGTTAAATTTTCACAGGGAGGGGCGCTATTGTTTGTGGCTTAGGCTTGCAGCTGCAGAAGACCACTGTAGAACAGTGGTACGCGGCATGATGGAACTGATCTGATAAGTGAACTAATGACCAATGAAGATTGATTTCTTTTTACAAAAGGTGATCATCTCTGAACAAACCAATCCGGAATAGGACGACTTATGTCAATATTAACTTCTTCATCACCCTAAACTCTCATAGATGAAAACGTCTGTGCACCTTGCCTTCTCGTTGTGTAACCGTTTGACATAGGCCGAACCAAAAGCGCAATTATACATAAACCAATAAAAAACAAATAGCTATCGCTGCTCGTGGGCAGAAGGTAAATGACTCTTTAGGAAAACACTTTGAGGAAAATGTCACACCACCGGTCTAACCAGAGCTAAAATAGCTTTTCGATCGAACTTCAACATAGATCTCTAACAGATCAGATCCGGATCCCTACTCCTTCCATACAATTATCACGATTTATCATGGAATGACAATAATAAGCAGCGACTTGCTAAATTGAACATTGTGTGCTTTACATGACATTTGATACTTGATAACTCTCGGTAGTTTTCCGGTAACAAAAATAATTAACGAAATAAGGACTTCATATTTTCAAAAAACTTCTACTTACTACGCCGATTGAAGCAGTTCTTTCATTCATTTTGTTTCCTTTAATCCATCCTCCACGTAGGACTTTTTTTTTAGTTTGTGAGGTCGGCTGCTACTTTATATTCTAGTTTTTGCCACGAATTTCGTTGAATGTCGTTTTTCCATTAAGTTTCTTGATACTCATACTAGAGCGTTCTTCTTGGCTTTCAGGGAATAAGTTAATCCCAGTCAAGTCTACTACCAATTTGTCAGAGAAATTGAAGGCTTGCTGAGCTCGCTAAGGAGTCGGACCAATGCTGTGCTCGTGATGGATGGCATCGCCACCACTGCCCTAGCCGCTCTATCAAAGCGCTACATACTAATAAAAAATCTTCCTGTAATTCTCTATATGTAGTAATGATAACACATGTACGCTCACTCCACACGATAAACGTGATTCGTGTTAGTGATTGCACGGAACAGAGCCCTCCAGTACCGGCGGAATCAATGATGGTGAAACTTATGGACGATTTGTTAAACGAATGTCGAGATTGGCACAACGAAAAATTAAATTAGTTGAGAAACTACTTGAGAAAGTGGATAATGTGAATTGCATGTTTAAAGTGAACAAGCAAACGCTTACCAAGCTGGTCATAGAGGAAGGCTTAAGTAGAACACCGTTGAAACACTGGACCAACCAGTATTATGGCGCTCAGGTAGGAAGATGAGAACAACATTATTATGTTTTGTACCTCTGATGACACTCCCTTCTCGCTAGGTCGTTAAGACAAAAACCAATCTAGATCGAGCTGCAATCAAGGAAAACTGTCTGTATTTAAATGAGACGAGATAGCGACCCAATCTTTCTATGTCAGAAAAATTCTTCATAATGGTTTAGGTACATGCGGCTTCTGCACTCTTCTATTTAGTTGATCAGGTGAGTTTGTAAAACGCTGTCTGAATATTGGAGGAATATGGCGATAACTGAAGTCAGAACCAAATTTTTCTACTCTTGCCTTTAGAGTGCTCGCAACTACAAACTCCATATGCACCAGAATTTCCTTATTTTCATTATTTTATTTTGTAAGACCCGTCTTTACACATATTGTGCGGATCCCGGCACTTCTTATTCGTTTCCTCGTATCCGCCAACCAAGAATGCCCCCGCTTCGGCTGCTGCTTGAGGGTTTTCATTTCATCTTGAATATCGTAGAACGTTGGTCGAGTCGATTCTTCTTGGAGATAGCTGGTCTGGAGCGTTCCCAACTGGAGAGCAGAGAATGAATTTTCTCCGAGCAACTCTCGTACAAATTTCTCGACCCCAGAGGGATGAGAGGCTTGGTGAGCCCTGAGCGGCATCGAACCAGCACCATGCCCGTGATGACCGGAATCACTACCGTTGCGTTATCTGCCCTCTCTTTACTAGAATCTGAATATAACAATTTCAGTGGCTGAGAAACTGTATCTTCTCGGCATAGGCGTACAAGAAAGAACATGCCCAGAAACGGTATTTTGGTGAGAATCAGGCCTTTTCTATCCTGTCTTTAATTTCCAACAGAATAAGGGCTGCTTACAAAACGTTGTTTAGGAAGGGCTAGCCTAGAGAATTCGGTGGCGGTGACTGAAATATCGCCGAGCACTCTAATTCGCCAGTTAGTTCATAATCACCTCTATGACCACCTATGCGCAACGCGAATAGCATTATTTCAACTAATGGGAGAGAAGGTGATTGTATTAGCTCGGATACGATGCATAATACACCTTGTGAAGGGTATGGGGACGAATATGTTGCCGAAGCTGGTGTGCGCGTATAGGGAAACAATTGGTCGGTAAACAAAGATCAACTGCTCCTCTAGGCGCACATAGGACACAGACATACTGGTAAAGATTTTAAAGTAGAAGTTGCCATTCTCAAATAGTAGTCGAAAACTTCACGTGCAAAACTCTCGAAGCCTTCTGGAAAAATTCCAACAATCCAAAAGCGAACTCTAGGGAAGAATACCTCATTGTCGCACATGATCTCGTAAAGTATTTAAGACTGATAATTTGAAGTGAGAGAGGGATATTACCCATCTTCGTGAACTTTGTGCGGTCGGTTTATACGTGATGAAACACTAGGTGGCTTACAGAAACTAGAACAATCATAGAAAACGTTGAGTTTGTGAAGAAACTGCTTTGTTCTTAAAAAAGCTAGCCAACTAATTAACTAAGTAACTTTAAGTTTAGCGAGCAATTGTTTTCCTATACGGGTGCACAGTGGTCTACTCGCTTCGGCAATATATTCGTCCCTATACCCCTTACAAAATATGAAAGGACATCACCGAGCGAGTATGGGTCATTCGAGAGACAGTCGGCTGAGGAAGACACAAGTCGATACGAAGGCGAAGACGCTACATCGAAACGAAAAAGGATTGTGGATTATAGAATGGGATCGTCGGCTCAGATGAAGATGACGTCGAAACGTCAGCGCTGAATAAAAAAAATGAATACGTACTTTGTTTTCAATGCGATAAAAAATTTTGGTTTCTTGACTTTTTGTTTTTGGCCGTCGACGTTTCTGTTCAGGTAGATTGCAGTCAGCTCGAGATTCTCAAGATACGAAGAAGGCGAAGTTTGCCAAAACGTCTGCTTTTCTTGCGAATGAATAGTAATAGCGGACTTGTGTTTGCTCATCAGGAACGCAGTGATTTCATTAATGGCTAAGGTCCTCCCAACGGTTTACCGCTTCATCGTGGCTACGAGGTGTTACTGGGTGTCGGGCTGCGCTGCACAGCGAGGAGATTGGTCCTTCCGGCAGGGTCTCCCAAGCTGAGAAGGAGTCCGGCGTTTCCATCAAGAAGCCTAGCTGAGACGAAACCAATACTAGGATCCACCATCGTCCTGGTGTCAAAGTCGCATGGTGGTAAATCTCCCTCCGATCCGCAAGGGCTGCAACTGCTTGTCGTGGTGTGGACCTGGGGCAGACTTTGGCCAGGCTGACCTCGGGATTCCAGGGAACCACAATGGCTTAACCAGCAAGTCTCCGAAAAATGATGATTACGCTGCAGCCTGCACAACCAGTAAGGACGGGCCCTTCAGTATCAAGTAATGCTGGGGTTAGTAGGAAGTCGGTCTTGGAAGCGAAATCAATCACTTCTAACTTTTATTCATTTTCACAAAAAAATTGACATCAAATAAGCTAAAGGCGTTAATAACAGGTTATATTACTACATGGCTCATACATCAATATCTTACGATCTTTTCGATTTCTAATATATAGCTGCCGTCACGGAAACGTCTCCATTCATTACATCGATGACGTCCTATAAAGCACAAATTTACCCCTTTTTCTCTATGGCCACAACACATGTGTATTGTCAAAAGAAAATAAATGGTAATATTAACAGTTGGTTGTTGTAAGAAGTTGCGGAAGTAGTTAAAATTAGTCAATGGTTAGAGATAAAAGGATGAAAGGATAAAGTTCCTGGCGTTGATCAATCCCTGATGGGTGCGCCATGAATTCGACTTCATTAAGCATCGATGGAGGTGATTAAATGCATATCAGGCCTTCACAACGACTCGAGGTGGTATACCAATGTATTGAGCTAGTGCTGCTATCCTCACAGACAAGTTTGGTACTAATACTGATTTCGGAGGGATGGAAGGCTTGGTGAGCCTGGGCCGCTGAATCGATCCCGTGTGTATTGCAGAGCGTTTCTGAGCATTGTCCAACATGCGCCCAGTGGCTAGTGTTACCTTAAAATAATGGCTTGTAGTTCGATTCTACTGTGGGCCATTCAAGCCTGTATCCCTTTGCGCTGGGTAAGTTTCTGTCAGAGTAGCCTGGGGAAACCAACCTTCGATCCACAAAGTGGCCATTGCCAATGGTGTAACTTGGAAATGTTCTACAGAACTCTCCCAGTATTCCAGGGAGAATCAACTGGACCAGCATTCATAAAAATACGCAGGCAAGTAGATAAATATGTCTTCGAACAGAACTTCTTGATCAACAAACCAGTTATGGTTGTCAAAAATCTATAGTTGAGAAATGACTAAAATTTCAAAACAGGTAGATTTATCTGTCATTGGCCGTGCGTATCTAGCAAATTGTCAATGGTCTTCTTCACGCAACACGAAACGTCAACATATCCTCATTCTAATCGATGTTCTACAACAATTTCATCACCCTTGTCGCGACTTCCGTCCAGAAGTTTTTTCATCTGAATTATTTTCCAACAAAAACTTGACAACGCTTTAGCAATATTCTGCATTAAAACGCAGTCAGGCGCAGTCTCCAAGAAAAAGCATATGGAATCAGTTAGGGTGGCCTGTAGCAAGTGGTTAGACGTGCCGTGCACTACACACTGAGCCGTTTTTTGATTAGATCACATCCATGCTGCTGACCCATCATGCTGACCAAGCCTTGTATCCCTATGGGGTCAGCAAATTGGACTTCAATTTGTTTGATATTATGAAAACAATGACTTGCTACATCGGCAATCCAGCACGAGTTATTGTGGTGGCCAAATATGCATTGATTTAAATGCATGGTTCGGCCATAAAGTCTTGATGAACATCGAACGCCTTGTCCATCTATCTTTTACGAGACCTGTCATTATACCTAGGAATGATGAGCAGGGCGTTTATCCTTTTCTATCCATAACTACACTGTTCTTCATTACAGCGTATTCTCTGTCAGCAAACAACATGTCCACCTTTTTTGAATAAAAATAGATTTTCTGACTGTTTCACTTACGAATTTAACATTTGAGTCCGCGTCTTTGATTCACGCATGGAAGCACATCTATTTGTTTATTTAAATAGATAGATAATAGTAAAATAGCTATAAAAATCGGAGTACGCACTGCACGACTGAGACAAGTGATTGGTCTGCCACATGGTCGCAGTGTATTTTTGTCGAAGATCTCATCGAAGAATGGATTACACAGCAGCGGTTGGCCATGCAATCGTCGATGCGGCGTGTAGACAAACATTTCCTGAAGGATCTGCACTGCCTCTTCAGGACAATCTACTGTTATCGGAAGTACCTGAAAGCGTCAAGAGGGCAGTTTTTCACTATAGCCGTAAAGTTCCTCTCAGCAAAAGGAACGTTTTACCTTTTCTAGTTGAGGTTCTGCGCCTGTATCTGTGAAGCTCTAAAAAATTGTTTTAAGCTTTTATCAATAAAAACTCTTTTAGAAACAGTTTAGTTGTGAATTGAACAAAAAGTATTTTCTTTTTTTTATTGACGCACCATCGTTTACCCTGATGTAATTCGGACTAAGGTGCATTACACTCATATATGATGCCGACTGGTGGCTGGACGACGACCTCAGCTACCGATGCGCTTAGATGTAATCAGCTACAAGTACTAGAAGCATCGTTAAAAGGTAACTTCATTAATTTCTCGAAACCGAGCTGCATATGCGTGGCCTAGGTTACGACCCAGTGTGCGTCGTCAATATTGCAACTGTAGATGGACATTTCGTCGCTCTTTGTCGAAATGCCTACCGATTGTATCTCTTTCCATTTGTTGTTCGGAATATTCATGTCGAAGGCATCCTGGTCAGTTGGTAAGCCGAAGCAGTCGATATAAAGCTTTAAAGAGAGGATTCAACTTCTCGTTTCTCGCAAGCGAATGATGACCATCTATAGAATGCCAATTGCAATTGGTCTCACTTCAATCTGATTCAAGGTGCTCTTTCCCGGAAATAGCACGGCTCCACGAAGCATTTCTCCAAATACGCATGCGCACGACCAGATATCTAAACATTACGATTATTAAAGCTGCACTTGAAAAATGACTTTTTTCGAACACGTGGTATTTGGCACTCTAAACAAATCATTGGCTCCTGTTAAGTCAGTTTTGCTTCTACTTCCAGAGCAGCATTCGTTAACAAGAGATAGTCGTTCCTAGTACGATTTCCTTCTTTCCGAAAGAAGGAGCCATTCAGTTGAGGGTCATTTGGGCATCGACTCCTGACAAGATCTGGCGTTGCACCGTACCTTTACTTACCTTGATAGGCAGGTTGTGACGAGTAAATGTGCCAAGAATGTGCTATTTGATCCAGAAACTAATATTTTCATTTCGGAGTTCCAGTGATTTCACTATGGAAATGGCCTGATCGAAAAATATGTTCCAGCAAAACTGCCTGGCTCCGCAAGAGACCGAATTAGGCAAGGTTTTTTTCCAGTTAATGGAAACATGTATTGTGCTATAAATAACATTAGGTTACTCACCAACTTCACAGCCGTATATTTTAGCGCCTAGTAGCAGCTCCGGTGGCCTATAGTATCTAAATTATAAGTTCTTTTTGCGAAAAGGTCTTAGTGTAAAGAAAGAAAGGAGGAAACATCGGGAGAATAGGGTTAACCTCACCTTGTAACGTGGTAGCTGGATTGTGGGCTCTTTTTGGGCTCGAAGACCGAAGAGCCAAAATCGCCGATCTTCAGTAAACCGGATTCATCGTCGACAAGCAGGTTTTGTGGCTTTATGTCACGATGACAGATACCTGCCTACGTTTGATTCAATTTAGAAAGCCCTAGTAGGCGACTCATCAAAGTTCACTTACTCGCAGTAGATGATACTGTCCTCGGAATAGCTGCCATGCAAACATTTTAATCTCAACGAGTGCGATTTTTCGTTGATGCTTCTTCAAGTACTGGTAAAGATTAAGTGGAAAGAACTCGAATATGAGCGAAAAACAGGTCTGAAATGCTATGCTATTGATGGCTTATCATGAATTGTTCCATTATCGATTCTCAAAGCGAAACCGGTAACCGAGGGATACGAACTACTACACGGCTTTCATTGAAGCGGTTATGCAGGACTCTAGTACGTGGGTAGGGCCATTTCTAAATGATATTAACCCAATAAGGCATTTTTTTGAAAACTAGAGCTGGTAACTGCCATATTATTTGTACTCATACTCGGTTCGTTTAGACTTACTTCAACAAACGTTGGATTAAAAATGGTATACAAATTTTATTGCTTCCTTTTTACAAATCGCGTGCTTTCTGGTGAAAGATGTGGGTATAAAACCACTCCCACTTGGTATATAATACTCCGCTGATTTTTCACTTTAGGCGCTTAGAATTAGTAAGAAGAAGCACAAATAAGCGCATTCTGTTCTATAGCTATATCAATCTTTTTCTAGATACCACACAAATTCACATTGTCAAATCCGACTGTCGTCAGGTTGTCAAGGCATAGTGGCTTTTGTTAGTGTGCGCTTAACATCGGTTTTATATAAGCAAATATGAGAAAAAAACTTGCGTTATCTGAATATCGTGTTCGATAGCTGTAAAGTAACCGCACGATGTTTTTATGATTGAGGCGACTCAGCAGTTTTAGAATTTGAATTTCATAAGAAGTTAGTGAAGATGCTGAAATAATGCGGGCTGTGTGAGCACTTTAATGCCTAGAAAACAAGTAATTGAAGGCTCAAGATAATTCGTTATGATGACAACAAAAAGTTTTCGAAACCTCTCTGAGTTCCGGACCATGTCTTTTTGATGACGACTTCTTTAGGTGCGTTAGTGTCGCCCGCAACGAAACCACGGTAGACGTTACTGAATGCTCCGTAGGAGAATAAGTGTAGATTCCACAACTTTAGGGAGACCTGAAAAGGTAGGCATGTGCACAAAAGATTCCTCAGTGGAGATAATCTCAACACAGAGGCAGTATCTTTTTTGGCGTGTAGAGACGTAAAAAATATCCGACGCTTTTCTTCAATAAGCAGACACGAGGTTGTTATTATCGGATTTATTAGGATACAATAGCTGACGTTTCGGTGGTTTCGCCTTCTTCAAAGCCGTTTAATTGTTGTAAGTATTTAAATTAGTTGATAACTCTGATAACTGAGTTATCGCCCATGTATTACTCTGTGCGGCAGCTATCCACCAACTAATTTAAATACTTACAATAATTAAACGGCTCTGAAGAAGGCGAAACCACCGAAACGTCAGCTATTGTATCCTAATAAATCCGATAATAACAACCTCGTGTCTGCTTATTGAAGAAAAGCGTCGAATTATCAATCAATGCCGAGATTAAAAGAAAGTCGGTCATGGTAAAAAAAAACGTCCTCTGTCAGCGTAGAAAAGCACCACTAATCGCTTAGGAATGTCCCATCCGTTCAGTTCTACGAAGCATACTTTTGTGAGGCTATCGTTCCATTAAACCGTGTTCTTATGACCTCGGACAGGTTTATTTACCGAAGGCTCAGTGATGGAGGATTTGGCTTGCCCGAGCATGGAATCGAATTATATTTGTATTCCAATGCATCCTGTAACGACAGTCTTACGTACCGCTGATCTTTCGTTTAGTCATCAAACATTTCTTTACGCAGCTGGTGCTTAAGGGACAAAAATTAATAATCATTTGGATGCACAACGATCGCTTTATTTTTTTGCGAGTTATCTTCATGGGATGGTTGTCGTTATGCAAAGAAACATACTCTGCATCGCTGTGCTCCTGCTCCAAATTATGCTTGTAGTTGACAGTTTGATCCGATCTAACCCACTTTCGGTGGACCATGCTCATAAAGGTACAAAACATCGGGTTGGGATAATATGTATCGAGCTCCAAGTGCGCAGTACGTATTGGTCTTAGATTAACCATCTCCCCCCTCCAGTTACAAACTCTCAGGAAATAGGTTCGGTGAGTGTAAAGGAGACGAAATTCGCAGATACTAACCTGCTTCTACTGCAAACATTTCGATGGCCACATCCACCTACTTCTTGCAAAAGCTGAGAATGATATATGTGCTCTCCCAAAGGTATTAATTTTTGCATTTCGTTGTGATGAACTGTAGAAGAATGTAAAAAAAGACTGCAGCACTCTATCCTGATAATAATGCACTCTAAATTGTCAGAAACTTGCATCGCCTGTGCTCACCAACACACTGGCTTGACATTTTACTGGCGCGGTTCTAAATCAAGCAAATGTCATCCAAATAGTTTCATGAGACGCTACGAATGAAATTTTGACTGAAGTAATGTCCCTGTAGATCTAAGTGAACCATACGTTTATAGAGAGGACTATCTCTGATAAATATGAAGTGATGTAGTGGTCCCAGTCGTGTGTGGACATCTATTTTTACATCTATAATTACCCTTTACTTGAAGACAGAACCATAAAAACATTTCGAGTATACGCGTAGTATTATTCTTGATATCTGAAAATTATACAACACTGAAGTACGAATACACCGTTCTCAACATGAACTTTAATGTTGAGGTTTGATTATTCCGCTGTTAACTAATTCTTGGAGATAAAATAATCTCCAGAAAGGGTTCTCTCTGCTTGGCTTGCATTGACCAACCTTCAGCAAGCCACGCGAATGGTTACATCCACTAAAAGACATTGCTTGAGCGACACCACTATGTGGGGACACCAAGCACAGGCAAATAGGTCATCCCTTTTTCTATGACTTTCTGAAAAGAGAAAAAGTGTAAGTGGTGTGAAAAACGTTACCTCACGATCGTCCTCGATTCTGAGTGCAAGGACGTCAGCAGAGTCAGTGTATCCCATAGGTAACCCGCCCAGCCGGGTAAAGCGATCAAGTAGTAATAAACAAGTTTCGCAACAACTAGTTGATAAAGGCTTCAAAACAATTTTTCATTTTACACTATCCATCAGTGTGATCCATATACATATCTAACAGACAAACAATTCTATCCAGGATATGCGGATATATATTCGATACTATTCCAGTGTCAGAAATAATTGTCCATGGTCATTGTGATAAAACTACGAAGATGCTGTATAGGGCACGAAGCGTAGAAAACAACCAAGTGAAAGATTTAACGAATCTACACTGTTTGCCTACTGTAAGCCAAAATAACGGTGGGCGCATCCACTGCTGTTGTTCTTTAGCAAGGAATGTCTTTCTTGTATAGCATTCTTGTAGGATTCACCACGGGAAATGGCATCCTCCAGTTTCCAGCAAAGGAACCAAACCTTTAAACTTTTGGACGGGCGATTTGTGGAACGCTGTGAGATCTTCGATCGCTAGGACACGATTGATCTTTCCGATTTTCTTTTGAATTAGGAGCTTATAAAAATTCTCGCTATCAATCCTTGTGCTTTATTTCAATTCATAGAATGTTTAGTGTTGTACAGAAATTGAAGCGCTTGCAGAAATTAATAATTTCTCTACAAATATATAACCATTGTATACTACTTCAATAGCGATTGAACCTTAAACATAGGACGGAGGATGACATTAATACTTGACAGCACATTCTCCATTTTTAGAAGATTAGCTGCTTAAGCCATTGTGGTTCCCTGGAATCACGTCAGCCTGGCTAAAGTCGACCCCAGGTCTTCACCATCACAGGCAGTCGCAGCCCTTGTGGATCAGAGAGAGAGTTGCCACCATGCGACTTTGATAACTGGACAGTGGTGGATCCTGATATTGGTTTACTTTTAGCCAGGCATCCTGATGGAAACGCCGGACTCCTTCTCAGCTTGGGAGACCCTGCCAGGATAGATCCTCTCCTTCCCTGTGCATCGCAGCCCTACACCCAGAAACACCTACCAGCCACGATGAGGTGGTATGCCATTGGGAGGGGCGACATTAATGCGGCGGAAAAATATACATACTTCCTCAAAACAGACAATATAGAGGAGGTTCTTCGGTGTTGACCGATGACAGGAGCAAAAAATATCTCATAGAACAGAACAGAAGTTTCGTTTTCTAGCAAACGAGATATGAAACCAAAAATTAGGTTTCATTGCTATCAAGATTCCTTTTATTGATTGTACTGCTAAAAAACTGAGTTGGAGACAATTCTCTAAATCTTTTGCTATGACCACAATAGATTTAATAGTACTAATCTATGCACTATGACGTGCTAAGCCGTAATTGCAAAATTGTCTAAAAGCTACTTTAACCATTTTCCTTAAGCGAATAGCACGGTTTCTCCAAGATTATCGGCTGATAATGCAAATGGGTTTGCAGAAGTACATGTTATTGCACCATGTCGAACTGTACAGGCAGCCACCACAGATATTTATTATTCACCTGCAGTACTTTTCGTACTGCCACACCTATTGTTTTAAACAGTGTTTTTCATTAATATACTTTTTCATAAATCCTTATTCTTGTGATTTCAAGATGCTCTACTGTTTTCGTTTTTGTTCACCGCTTGCGTTTCATGCTCTGCTATGAAAAGATTATTAATGCCTGTTACTTCCAGTAGTAACCGCTGATATGTAGATGAAACTAAGCACAATTGTGGGTATTTGATCTTTAACAAAGAAATGAACTTTAACTGTTGCAGAAATTCTTCCTAAATCAATGGTTCTCTGATTTTTTTGTGCCTTTTTGGCAGATTCTCCGGAAGAGCCTTCCCTTTGGTTTCAGGGATAACAACTTGATAGGCGAAGGTGTCAAATACGGCCATAGCTGTTAGAACGATGTATGGAAACGCCTCCCAACCACTCTGAAATAAAGATACTTTACGATGCCATGGCCTATTCAGATAAACTTGTTAAAATTCAACATTACCAATAAATAAACAGCTCTTGCAGTTGGTTAGTCTTTCCCAACGTGTTGTACTCTTGCATAATCCTTTCACTCACATGAAACTATGAGGTTTTGAATCCTATGAGGTTTTCGAAGACCACTTTAACACGTTGCTGCGGAATACTCTCTTGCGAACGAACTATTCATATGCTTGAAAAGTGGCAAAGCACTAGTGATAAGTCTTGTGAATAGGCCAGGTAAGACGTTTGGAACTCTAGCTCGTCCAACTTTTCAACAAAAGCTTATAAAAAACGGGAGATGGTCCTTTCGCCCAAAAAACACATTGGTGGCTGCGGCAGCTCTTCTACCAAGACCTGCTGAGAATTACCCAGGCACTAGGGTTGCTGAAAACTTCACGGAAATAGATGGGACTTTGCTCTAAAACTTTAATCATATACACATTCCTTTTAGCGAGGAATTTCTAACATAAGGGCGGCAGCTGCAAATACAACGATACATTAAAGGCAATCATAGTGCCCAAAATACCGTTTATTCTATTACCTTTGTCTTCCAAACAGGAGTTTCAACGAAAAAAAAAGGTGAGGGAGAAACGTGTCAAGGGTATCACCACATCAGGATATTATCTTGATGAAATAAGTGAAGCCTTTATAGTGAAATAAAATTCATATTAAGGATACATTCATTCAAACGAAGACTTAATTTTTAATGGGTGTTTGTTCCAGTTAATAACTATCAAAATGTACTGCGATAGGCTGCTTTAAAGTGAAGACAGAAAACTATTCCATACCACATGCATCGGACTCAATGCATTGCTCGAGGTCTATGCGGCCCATAGAATTCGGGTCGTATTGAGACGGCTGGATTTATTCGTAAGAGCATTTGACCGCGAAATCAAATACCCACGTCCTTCATAGTAGTTATTTATTCAACAGCATCCTATATTTCACGACGACTTTTAGAATTCCACAAGTTTATCATTATTTTTCAAAACAAATTTATAACAAAGGCAGATTAGCGTCGTCAAGAATCCTTGAGCGATGTTTTAAGATATTAGAATTATGTGACGTTCAGAGAACAAGAAAACTTTCATTGGCTTGGCGACGTTTTCAAGATTATAGTGAAAGCGAGTCTACTAATTTCTCTCACACACGGCAAGGCGGCGACGGTTCAGAACGTGCTGATATAGTAGATGAACACATGAACAGATGATCCTGTGCATTCTACTTTAGAGTTGATATCGACTGTACTTTTTTCGACGAGTCGTTTTTCTCGACTGGTGGCTCTGTTCTTTCGCATCCACTACTGGTTGGTGATTTAGCACTTCTAGACCGGAAACTATTCAATTGTGCAAATTCGTCTTTTTGTGCAGCCCTTCTTTTCTCCGATTACTGAATTATGGCGAAAGCGAGTCCACTAGTGCATGCGAAAGAACAGAGATGCTAATTGAGAAAACGACTCATCGAAAGAGTCTTTAACTGAGACCTCGTTTATGAAACCGTTAACAGTCGACATCGATTCTCAAGTGGAATGCACAGGATCGTGTTCATCTACTACTATCATCACCTTCTGAACGGTCGCCATCTAGCTGTGTGTGAGAGGTGAGCACACTCGCTTTCACCATACTTCAGTGCTTCAGCGAAGAAAAGCAGGACTGCACAAAAAGGTGAATTTGCCCAACAGAATAGTTTTCCAGATCATATTGGTATTTAGTTAAACTAGTAAAGATCATTACAGTTCAGGAGAAATTTTCATTTGAAAGCTGGTTGCTCTGAAACTAGCGAAGAATTTTCAATTTCATTCCTATCATGCTTTAGTTGGAATTTTGTTCGACTTCTGCACCATTTGGCCCGCGTGGCGCAGTGGCCGGAGACGCCTTACAACATATACGTGGGATAGATTGCCGCGCCCGTGCCTTGACAAGCCTTCCACCCTTTCGGGGTTCGCAAATTGGTACCAGACTTGTATGAGAGGATAGCAGCACTGGCTCGATACATCAGTAGTCCACCGCGGCTCATTGTAAAGGCCACATATGCATTCAATCATCTCCATACGATGCTTAATGAAGTCGAATGCATGGCGCATCCCTCAGGGATTGATCAACGCCGAAAGCATTATCTTTCATTTTTGTCTGTACTATATCTATCTATCTATCTTATCTTTCATCTTTTGTCTAGCATCTGTCTGTAGCCTATTATACATGCATGGCTTACTTTATAGAATAATTCAACTATAATATAAAACGTATCTTCGACATATTTTAAAGGCTAAAATCTCAGACGTCGACAGATCTACTCTTACGAATCCAAGATCGGATATAGTGCAGTCAAACGGTTCCAAACAGTAAAGGAGCCTAGTAATAAGGAAGTGTTATCGAACGCGCCGTGATACGTTGACTTGGAAAATTTCGTCGTTTTGAATTTGACTTTACAAATGATGGATGCTGTGGACGTCTTTCAGTAGATTTAAAGGTTTTGTCGGAAGCAAATACGAGCACAGTTGTTACGAAACTTGCGCACAAGAATCTGATGTAAGCACTTCAGTTATTACGGAGCGCACAAGATAATTGAAAAGCTAGAAAAGCACGGCAAATGAATACCGAATCATTTGAATGACTGAATGGTATTCACTTCGTCCCGAGTTGAAATATGTTTCCCTATCTATCCATCTTGAAATAAACATGTTCTCATTCCTCAAAAGTACCTGTTTTACTCATTTTTTAACTCCTAGGCGAGCCGTGATCTCTACTGGAGTCACAAGACACGAAGGAAAAGGTTGCTTTCAACTTCAAACCAACGCACTTCAGATCTTGATGAATTCTATTGACTGCAACAAAAACTCTTTGGATCTGCAGATCTTTTCTTACACGATACAAATTAAATTACTACACGAAGATAACATTCTGATTGTCTAGAGCCTATGAAACGTATTTTTTCACTTTTTTTGTTTAAGGACAAGCGTTTTGAATATGAAAGCGATTGAGCAAGCGAGGTTTCATTTAATGGGACAAAATGATCTTTCCAATGTCTAGGTTTTGTTCGCAGCTCTCGCCATTGCGTTTGAAATGCTAGAACTTGAAATTATGTTCTGCTGTCTTATATTGCTGCATAATTTTGTTCTATACACATTTGAAATTAAAAGCACGCTGTAGAGAAATTGTATGTGCGGTTAATGAGAGAGACCAAAGCCTTTTATACAAATATACAAAGCGAACTCTTGGTACAGTCTGATCACCAAGAAATTATTGTTGGTTGCCCCAAAAACTGGCTTCGTAGCTAAAGGGTTAATTTCCGAATAACCCAGCATATCGATTTAGGCTTGAAACCGCATCCATTGCTTTTGCACCGAATGAATCACGTATGATTCATACTGCGGCCGATGTGCAAATGCTGGTGGCTGGCTTTGAACTTCTTTGCGCACTTAGTAGATATGGTGCTAATATAGCCGACCTTTGTGTTTCGGTAATTTGTGAGAGCTCAAAAAGTTGGAGTAGGATGACTCAAAGTGTCGAACATAAAAAGTTTTTGTAATGTTTTTTTTAAACCAAATCTGACTTTGTAAGGCGATTCAGAGCCCTATCTAGCTCTATCATTGCTGAAAATTGCACAAAATTCAATATAAACGAATGTCACAAAGAGACAAAGGTGCGGACCATTTCGCTGGGGCACACAAGAGGACGTGCGGGAATTGATCTCTTAACGCATCACCTCATTCTCGGAGGCAGGTACTTGCTAATTTTTTTCCACGCTCCAGTTTGATTGCAAAGTTTGAAAATCTAAAGAAAGTTGCCGAAGCGTCAGCTATCATAAGTAAATCGTAATAACAACCACTTCGATGTTGAGATATTTCCAAAACTTGGGACACGGGCCAAATTCGAACCCAAGTTTACCTTTTCGGCGGCTCACTTGTTACCCACTGCATCATTGAGGTCCTCGTTCTCCATTTTCCCCAGTCAGTTTTCTAGCCAGAGATCCAAGTTTTGCAAAGATCTCAGCACCATAGTGGTTGTATTTCACATCATACCCTGCCATGAAGAAATAATAATGGGCAGTAAATAAAGAGTAAACATTGTGTAGTAATGTGGTGTGTAGTGTAGGACTTCGTGTCTGCTAATAAAAAAAACAGTGAAGTTTTGATTTAATATTTCATTGGTGCTTAGTTGTTCTGCATCAATAAATCAAATCATTGCAAGTCATCGTACAAGCCGGATATGCAATTAGTCATGCTTACGTTTCTACGAATGGAGTTGAATGCATAACGTACCCCTCAGAGATTGCTCAAAGCACTTTTTCCGCTGTCGTTAATAAGTGAAGTAATGGAACTTAGCTCACTAGAAGGAACAGTTGTGGAGCAACAATAGTTCCAACACGGCTCCACGTTGACTTCAATGCCAGTCCTGAGTTCCGAACCACAGTAGGGTAATACTCTATGGCGGAAATCGTCTTTGTTATAAACGTCTAAACATAAAATATAGCTCGTATGTAATGCTGAGATATTTGCAAAATTCCGCACCGCAGGTGTATGCGGTGGGGAACGAACACGCGCTGTTGTCCTTACCGAGGAGCAGCGCACTTCACCACCACACCATCCGGGTCCCTCGTTCTGCCTGTCTCTCTATAAAATATAGCAGTTTTACAACCATCGATAAAGCTAGCTGAGAGACACGCGAAACGAAGGAGACGCATGGTGTGGTGGTGAACAAGTTATCCCTTGGCAAGAGTAATAGCGTGTTCGTTTCCCACCGCAGATACCTGCGGTCCGGAGTTTTGAAAATATCTCAGCACTACTGTGGTTGTATTATACTTAATGCACTGCCGTAAAAAATTGTAATAGGCAGTAAATAAAAGTTAAAATTATAACGTCGACTACAGCAGTTTTACTTAAAGAATCTCAAAACTCTTCTTTTCATCAGGCTGTCAAGTTATATTGTCATGACTGCCGTCTAGTTAATAAATCTCCATGATTATTTGAACGTTTCTAATGCTTACGGTATCATTGGAAATTTATCATTGCAGGTTATTTCAATAAGTGATTACTGGAGCATCTGTTTCTAGCGTACCTGAGAAGTGGTAGCGGTTGCAAGAATTGTTGAAAACCGAATGATGCTAGTTAAATCATTCTTGAGATCTAAAGCAAACCCTCGAGGTATTGGAGAGCTGAATAATTTCAATGTAGAGCTAAAAAATACCTAGAAGATAAACTGTTGTGATGACACCGAGAAAAACCGCAATCGACAACTGAGAAATAAAGTGCACAAGCTTCCGTCCGACCAACATACTTCTAAATGCAGTTCTTTATAAGGTGAGACAAAAAAGTACGTACTATAAAAAACAACTAGTGAGCAGCAACTTGAAGTCGAGCACGGCAAAGACGACGTTGATTATCCATCTGATTGCTCCCATTATAGTGGCATTGATAAAAAATGAGCCGGACAGTAGCTCGATGTTGAATACCAGACCATAATTGATCACACTTGTCATAAATCTGCAACAGACGGTAAGGACTGGTCAACGATGATAGCAGATCGTCCACTACAGCCAGCTTAGTTTCTCAAATTGGCCGCGTATCTTGAGTTAATACTAAGCAGGTTCAGTGCCCGTTTGAAATCCTACAATGCTTTTCACAGTTAGCTGAAATTGTGTGGCTTCCAATTTTTACTGGACACTGGACTGAAGAACAAATTTCGCTCGTGCCTCTAAAATGCCTTAATAAACTACAATTTTTAAGGCTTATGATGACACTTACACTCCTGAACAAAATATGACAGTCGCTAATGACATCTCTTTGCCATAGAACAAATGACGTAGATTGTACGATTTCGCCCTCTCATTACGTTCGACCAGCTTCTGGAACGAACGCGTAGAATGATTGCTCTGGTTCGAGAGTAGAGGAATGGAAGTGAAAAAAAAAACAAGCAAGCCTATTCATGAAATAGAAACCGCTTTTCTAGAAAGTTTTCTTGCAATATGCTATGTGTTAAAATGCATCAGGTTCTCGTTAAATTAGTGTCCGATTTCAAATGCCATTTTCAAAGTGGCATGTCTCAGTTCGAAATAAGCTTTATTATTCGAAGTGGCAATCGTAAAAATCTATGAATTTTTTGAGCAGGTTTATTTTTACCAATCCGATGAAATTCTGGGGCTCTTGAAACGATGAAGCCATTAAAGGCTGCTTTGGACTCAGCTTGGTTTTTGAAACGTTTCCAGGACAGAAAACTGCTGAAACCTTCGACGAAATGGCATCCAGCAGGCAAGAACTCTGGTGAGTATAGTGGACGAGGTAGAGTTTTGTAGCCCAACTCATTCAAGCTTGCTGCGTCGCTAATACGGACGGCGGCGAGTCATAACGTTGAAGGAATGGTGACTTTCCGTTGACCACTGCATTTGAGTTTTCAGTGCACTTTCTCTACGTACTTCTGGTGATACAATGTCTTCACACAGATTTAGGAAGCTATGATGGATTAAGCGAGTAAAAAACCACCAGATGATCGGAACGACCTTCTTTTGGTGCAATTTCAGCTTTGGTAAGTGCTACATACCATCTTCGCCCATCTTCGCGGCTCATCCACTGAAGCGATCTTCAACAATAGTTGTCGAGGAACGGAATCAATTCTCGTCGTACATCACATTACTGTTCAGACGCGAATTGTTCTGAGTGAGCAGAAAACCGTATAGCTGATTCCTCAAAACGACGATTTCTTTGATTCTCATTCAATTCATGGTGTTGAGCTTCTTTGATCTTCCAATTTTCTTGAGATGTTTCGTAACGGCTGAAATGGCTGAGTCGCCTTCTTCTCCACATTCTGGAAGAGTTGGTTGCACATTGGCTTCTACCACAGCCCTCACTTCATCTCTCTAAAAGCAGAAAAACGTCATCGACCGCCTCATCTTCAAAGCCAAATTCACCACAATGAATTTTTTCAAACTACCATTGCACTCTACGTTGGATAACACTCCTCTAGCGCTATGCTCCACAGATATTTCAGATAACATGGCTTCACTGCGCGCGAGTTTGCATTCGTAGCAGACAGGTCGAAATCGCTGGTGAAATTCTAACAAAACACGTCGCATATTATAGTTTAGTTATATATGGCGAAAGTGCGCAAAGTAACTTTTACAATGTTATATAACTGTACAGCATTTGAAGAAACAATTGGTAAAAAAATTTTTTTTATTTTATTTTAGATGACCCGACTTCACGTGGTGAATCCCAGCACTTCTCACATTCGACTGGTTTCCTCGCATCCATTGTCCACGAAGATCTTCCAACTTCACTTGTAGCTGCTTGAAGATTTTCACTTCGTCTTGAATGTTGTAGAACGTTGGCCGAACGATTCTGCCTGGAGTCCTGAGATAGCTGGGCTGGAGGTTCCTAATTGGATTGCAGAGAGTGGCATTTTGCCAAACAAGTGGTACACCAATTTCCTGACCCCGAAGGCACGAAAAGCTTGGTTGAGTTGGAGCGGAATAGAACTAGCACCATGCTCGTGATGAGGGACATCACTACCACAGTGCTATCCGCCTCCTAAAAAAGGAGAAAACGAGGAAAAGAAAACAAACAAAGCAAATACAAGGATAGTGGAAAAGATATACGTGGGAAGTGAAATCACAAATCAGATATTGATTCTCGAGCGACCTAATCTGTTTGAAATCAAAGCAGATCTTAGCAACATAATCGCATTTCCAAGAAAATAAAATCATAAAGACTGCACATATAATCTTCCTCCGGTTTGCCGGAAAACAGGTCTCAAATAAAGAACGCTGTAAGTCGAATCCTGGAGAGGTCTACCCAGACAAACAAGATCTAACCTGATAGGTAATGTCAAGCATTTCCTGCATCGCTTCCTTTTTAGTTTCCTTTTGCCTATCAACATGTTGAATGTGCATTAGAACTTTACGAGCATCTTCTATTCTTCCCTTCTGTATTAGCCAGCGAGGTGATTCAGAAATGAAGCTGAAAGAAACTGGAAATGAACTTGCTCTGTGATTTACGGCAATGTTTAAATTGGCACGCAGCTAAGTACGCTACGAATAATGTGAAGACAATGAAGATTGTAGGCTCTTAGCACATAAGAATCGTGATGCAGTGGTGTGCAGTGTAAATGTAGAAAACAAAGTAGGTTAATGTCGTCAATTTTTTTAGTGATGGTGAACGCGTCAGCCTCCGGAAAGGGTAACAGCGTTTTCGGTTTCTACCGCAGACACCAGCGGTCCGGAGTTTTGCAAATAACCCAGCAAACTTATAGTTATATTCTATAAAATGGTTTTTTTAGAGGTTTACCTTGCCACACAAAGATTTTTAGCTTCACTTTCTGAATTCATTCAACAATATACCTTGCGCAGAAGTTGAATAAGATGTGGCCTGCCCTAACCCATTCTCTGCACTTAGTAGTTTAGCAGGAACTTTTTATCGAACGACTTCAATTCAGGAAGAAGGCTACTGTTGTTTAACCCATAAAGACAGGTATGGACGCTATAGTACCCACTTTCAGTTTAGTGCATTCCAGAATACTTTTAGCGCACAATTTGTATTTATTCGATAGATATTCGAAAGCAGATCAAAATATTAGAGATCAGAACGGAGAAGCCGTTGTCTACACCTATTATCAATAACCTGACTAGCGATTGACATTGTTTCATTTTAATCACTATGGTTATTGTATAGTAGGACGAGTACGGAGACGCTGCTAAAATCTCAAGGCTACTCCAGGGTGCTCGCAAAGGACTAAGCTGACAATCTGTGCTTACAATGCATGCACATGGGCATCTGAGCCCTCGAAAGAAGACTTGATCATGCAGGGAAAAAGAACATGGTACGACGTCATAGGACTGGCAAAGACGAGACGACGCCACCCACTCAACGCAGTCTATAACACCGGAGAAGAACTGTTCCTCCGAACATGCGACCGTAGAAGAGTCGGCGGGGTCGGCGTTCTCGTCAACACGAGTTTGTCCATGAACATCGATTCATTCGAACAACTAACAACCCGAATCGGACGTTTACGACTAAAAAGATGCGAGTCAATACCGGTTTTAACAATCCTTTTTTACGCACCGACATCCAACTGTGATGAAGAAGAACTCGGGAAATCCTACATGAACGTGGAAGAGTTTTGCAGAGAAAACCATACTTTTTAAAGACCATCACTGGAGATTTTAACGCTAAGATTGGTGACAGAAAAACGGCTGGAGAGCGTCTCGTTGGAACCGACGGATTGGAATGGAACGAGCAGGATGGGCGACTGCCTGATTTTATGATAACGAACAAGACCATCCATGGTAACTCGCAATCCCAGAAGCCCCACCCTCATCAACGGTGGACGTGAGAGTCTCCCAATGGAGAGTACCAATAGCGAAATAGACCACATCGTGGCAAACGGAAGGTTTTGCTTACCGATTTCGCTGTTGTTTCAGAAATCTTCACGGGATTAGACCATCGCCATCGCCTAGCGGAAGGAAACGAGAGTCGCTAAATTCAAGAAACAAAGTCGCAAAACCACCACGAGTTGGGATTAATTCAGCTCATTAGTCGGTTGCTGGAAACATGCTGTTCTTGACAACATCGACGAGGAATACGATCTTCACGTATGCGCTATGAAAAGTGAGCGTTCGACAGTCGCCAGAAGACGTTTGTCTCCAGAAACACTCGAGCTAATACGCCAGCGTGGAATCCCAAAAGCTGCAGGCAACCGCGAACTGACGTCCGAATTTGCAAAACAATGCAGACAGGCAATAAAAGAAGATCATAAAGAGAGAAGAGCATTATTAATGGTCGAAGCTGCAGAGGCTGGGAAAAGCATTCGCAAAGCCCACCCAAAGCTTCGCCAATTATAAGACCGAAATAATTGCACTCCCACGCCCAGACGGAGCAGTTACAGCGTCCAGAAAGGCAATGGAGAAAATCATTTATGATTATTACTCGGTTCTCTTAAATTGTCATATCTTCCTGCCTCTATACGAAGTAAAGGAGGATGAATATGCCACCTCACTAGTTTTCCCTTCTGAAATGCGGCATGCTATTTCGTCGGTAAAGGATATAACAACAACAGGTCCAGACATGGAAAGATTGAACACTTCAAAAACGTTCTGCCAGTCTTCGTTAATACACTGGTTCGGCACTTCGCACGTTACCTGTCAGAATGCAAGGAACTACCCAGTGAAAGACAAGCAAGACCGTGCTGTTGTTCAAGAAGGCCACGGTATACCTCCAGAAGAAGGCCAACCATCCTCCAGTCCGCTTACTGTCTGCCGTCTACAAATTTTTCACTCGGATAAGCCTAATCAAGATTAACACAACAGTAGACTAAGGACAGCCATGTGAGCAAGCAGGGCTCTGAAGGGATTTAGTACGATGGACCATCTCCATACGATAACGAGACTCATTGAAGTATCGCGAGAGTTCAGAAGACCGCTCTGTCTCACTTTCATCGATTTAGGGAAAACCTTTGATTCAGATAGAGATAGAAGCAGTCATGGAAGCCTTTGGTAGCCAGGGAGTCTCCACACAGTACATAAAGATTCTTCGTGAGCTGTACAAAAATTTCACGGCCAAAGTGTCACCAATCTACAACGACATTAACATTGACGTCAAGGGAGAAGTTAGGCAAGGCGATACCATGTCGCCAAAATTTTTTACCACTACTCTCCAGAACGTCATGCAAACATAGGAATGGGATAATATGAGAGTGAAAATCAACGGTCGGCAGTTACACCATCTTCGCTTCGCTAATGACATCCTTCTTATAGCACCGAGCACTATCCAGGCCGCACGATTGTTTGCTGACCTTGATAAAGCTTCTGGAAATATTCGTCTTCGACTAAATCTCACGAAAGATGGTGCTCATGAAGAACGGATTGGTTACGTATACTCTTCATTCTCAGCGGAATGAACATCTCCAAATGCTCCATTTACGTATATCTAGGTCGGGAAATCAACATGATGAACGACTTAGTTCCAGAATTGAGCACAAGGAAGTGAGCGGTTTGGGGAGCATTCAAGAATAGCGAGCAGGACGTGTTTAGGTGGACAAAGAACATGTTTACCTATTCAACTCCACGATTCCTCCCGTGTAAACGTATGCGTCCGAAAGCTCGTTGCTACGTATGAAGGATGACAGATCCCTCAACGTTATGGGACACGCAGTCGAAAGGACGACACTAAGAGTATCCCGTATCACGTAAATGAGGGACTAGATCCGAAGCTCCGATCTACGTCAACCACCAAATCAAAGACGCCTTTCTATTAGCCAAATCGCAAACAGTAAGGTGGGTCGGACACATAATGCGTATGGACCAATTTTGGTGGACAAGAGCCGTTAGTTATTGGATTCCTCGGAAAAATAAACCTACTGCAGAAAGGCTATTGATCCGATGGTCACAGTTCTTCACGAAAACCGTAAAAGAAAGGTATGTTGCTCAACGAGCCCCAAAAGTGAGCAGAGCCCACCGGGCCATTCTCGCACGCAGCATGAAGAAGTAGAAGATTTTCTGGCGCCCGCTCAAGTCATTCCATGATTAACGGGAAGACAGGTAATACAGGTGAGGTGACGGTCATTGTATGAAATGAGCGGATGCGGGAAACAACGAAATAGACTTAACGTTAGGTACAAAATGCTTTCAAAATCTGACGCCAACGTACTACATATTGAACCATAGAAGCACAGAGAAAATAACAGCGTACATATCATTGCCAACAATAGAACGTTAAAGAGAAGTCTCGCCTACAATTCTGTAACGTTCACAACTCCTGGAGCACTAGGCAGCACAGAGCCGTTGCTGGTAAAGGTAGTGCAGAAATGCCTCTTGAGTTGTACTTCAACATCGAAGCCCTACACTCAGGGACAATTTTTCGACATGCTAAAGTAATTAACCCGTAAAGGAAAACTCTTCACATTTGCTCGGTTCTCAGAGAGTATGAGTTTTTGAATGTGCTTTAACTCACTTGGTTTTTAGAAACAGTTGGGAAGTCTTATTACTAAAGACTTTTACCCATGTGTTAAACGTTATGTTTATGAACATCCGTTCTACGTTCTAAAACTTACACTTTACACATGTATTCAGTTTAGTTATCCTACCCAGAATTAGTAATCTGTGCATACAATTTGCAGTTATAATTTATAGTCGGCTGAGTGGACAGCGCAATGACAGTGATCTCTTTCATTTAGCGGGCAGCTCGACCTACCCCAGGAGCCAGCTCGACCGCGTTCTAGGCCAAGCAGTTCTCTCATCCATCCATGGTCGGGCAATTGGTCGAAAACTTACCTGGTGTCAGATCAGCCGCTCTAATTCACGTGAGAACGCCCTAGTACGGCTGACTCAAGATTCCGGTAAGAATCGACTCGACCAGCACTCAGAGCACTTGTGAGGAAGAAAGGAAATTCCCAAGCAGCAGCCCAATCCATAGGAAAAAACACAGAAGGCTTTCGCAGATGACGTGTGGAAGCACACGATTATAAGAACCGCTGAGACCCGCGCAGTGTGATATATGTGTCAGGTCATCTAATTTTTAAAAAAAAAAGTGAAAAATAATATGCAATTCTTGACAACGAATTCCTTCACTTAAAAATATGCACTTCTTGGCAATGTTATACACATGACCTGCACTCAATCATCCTAACCATTAATATTTTTCGCAGCGGCTACATCTAAGGGCAACCTGCGTAGTATATTTTGTAACGCATTCGCAATCATAGCGTAATACTGTGCCGATTGTCTCGTGAGATCCTGCACATTCCATTCATGTACTGGGTGCACCTATGCCATCTTCGTTCGGAGTGGTATCGGCAAGGTGGGAGCACTCCAGTTTCAACGTAAATCGAGTTGACATCTGTCTTAAAGTCATTTAGAGAGATTTTTCCATTTCTCCACCATAGATTTTTCATGTCTTTTTGCTTACGAAAAACTTGCTTAGGATGTAGCTTCCAGCGGCTTGCGGTTTTCATAGGTTCGGTGAATGGTTCATGTTAAGAAGATATGGGCATCATAATAATTCCCTTTTATAAGTCCATTTAAAGATTCGAATTCCGTTATGCTGGCCGTTGTTCTCTATCCAGCTTCAGGCGGATGTGCTATTTTTCTTTCCATAGATCTTTCCTATTCCTTCAACAGATGCAAGGAGGAATGGTCCTTCTTTGTACTGAAATGTGAGCCGTCGTAAGAGTACTGTACTAGTCACTAGTGCAGAGAACGCTTTGCTCGTACAATAAAGTGCACGAATATCATGACTAAAACTGAATCACATTCCATTACGGAGGACTTGCTACAGTAGCACATCAATTTCTGAAAATGTAGCCACCTCTCCACCAAAATTTGAAGAACTTCAGACTGCACTTCTGTCTTCTGTGTGGGATATTCTGGCAGAGGGCTATGCGAATCTGAATGGAATGAGGATTTCGTCAATAATACACGATGTTCTCACGCCTGCGTATTCTGGAGCACTTTCTATTAAGAAATTCGGTTGGTTGCCCTACCTTGCCAGCCTGTCTTGTCAAAAATTATCTGGATCTAGAGATCTTTACTAGCAAGGTACAAGTCTCTTTTTTCTACCACGATAGAGAATTTTTTTCGAAAGTTTAAATTTAAAAGCACCTAGGAGAAAGGAGCACTTTAGAGAAGTTATTCCAAATTGTCTTTTTGGAAAAGTTATCCCATAAAAAGGATATAATAAAACTTCTTCTAAAATATCTTTCCAAGTTCTCAACTCCTCCGGGTACTGAAAATTATGAGTTATCGGGAAGGAAAGGTATCACCCATTGTGTAAAGCAAAGAGGGTTTAATTTTTGACTAATAACTGCTTCACCCACTGCCCTCATCGCAGTGATGGGTTATAGCAATGGTGTGGAAAGGATAATATAAAAATAAACGAAATTATTAACCTTTTATTTACTGCCTATTATGTTTTTCACCAGGATATTATGTGAAAGAAGGGAAACGTGAGTCAAATGTTTCAATGGTGCAGTGGATAACATGTTAGTCGCTGGAAATGGCCATCAAGAGTTCGAATCTGAACTGATTCTGAAATTTTGCAAACATCTTTGCTTCTTCATTTCCATTCGCATCAATGCATGAATACTGACAATAACATGTCCATTGCTCTCAAAAGGCTTTTCTCGGCAGGTTTTTCGCCGTGTACTTGAAACAAAAATGAATACTTAGGTTTCTATACACAACACTAAAGCACTACGTTGGCTCGCCTTAGTTTTCTACAATGTAAGGAGGGCATTCATAAAAAAGTCTTTCGCTCCAATATTGGCCATATAGTCTTTCAGACGTCCTCCGTCTATCCCAAAAATACTTAGTAGTAGTCAAAACACTCAGGACATGATGTGGCTGTACTGCGCTTATTTCCTTACCTTGCCTTCCCCACGAAGAGTTGTGGCGGCCGAGGCATAACTTTTTCTGATTAGTGTTTTGCAGCTTGGAAATACTTTTCTCTCTTATCCACCGATGTCATAGCACTGCTACTTTGTTCTCAGGTTTTCACCGTAAAGAAACAGCAAATTTTGCCAGCAAGAAACATAGCAGGTCTGGAACTAAGTTTTTCCAAGACCGGTAATTCCTGGTATAGCATCACGACTAGGTAGGCTGAGGATTAGAAGCGTCACACTCAGTTCCTATCATGGTTGACCCTGAGGCAGACGCGTAAGCAGCTCTGCTCCCATCCCCAACACAAAACAGTGATAAGCCAAACTAATAAAATGGCATCACGCAATCCTACTTAGGAAATTTTCTTCATACGTATGGGAACACTTATAAACTTGAAACGTAAGGATCCTTTGAATAGGCATCAGCAGTTTCTTCGTAGTGGCAGTTAATAGTCCTCGATATTAATTTGTTTTTCAATCACTCACAAAAACATGATTAATGCCGGTGAACTGACGACAACGAGAAGCCGTTGAAATGTTCGCCAGTCGTGCGAGACGTACGCAATCCCATTGAGGAGAATGAAATTCGGAGCCCATGCAATCACGGTAGAAACCCAGAAACGGTGCTTTCTCGGGATGTGCTCCATTTTGTACACGCCGTATACGCTGTAACAGAACGTTGGTACAGTAACTGGGAATATAATTGTGGTGTCACTGAGTAATTGAGGAAATTGCACAGAAATGTAACTTTGAAACAAACATCACCCCAGAAGTCCTCCATTGAAGAAACCGAGAATAGTACGAAGGACTGTGAAAGCCAATAGTGATGTGGAGAAGGAGGACGCAATGCTAATCAATGACGTTGTGATGAACGACGTCGCAAGTGTCTGTGAAATTCAAAAAATTACCGGACCAAACCACAAATTTCAAATGAAATGGATTTTCACCAATTTTTTTACTTCAAAAAAAATTTTTGAAAAATTTGTTTTATTTGGCACGTCTTCACGTCTACTGTGCAGATTCCAGCATTTCTCACACTTAATTCGTTTCCTCGCATCCATCATCCACGATGATCTTCCAGCTTTACGTGTGGCTTCGGTTGCTGCTTGAGGATTTTCATTTCATCTTGAATGCCGATGTCGTAGAATGCTGGTCGAGCAATTCTCCCTAGAGTCCTAAGAAAGTCGGGCTGGAACGTTCCCAATTGTACTGCAGAGACCGGAAGCATGAGAGGCTCGATTACCTCAGAGCGGAGTCGAACAAGCATCGTGTTCATGATAACGAGCATCACTACCACTGTGTTAACCGCTATCTTGGCTTTTATTAATAGTAAATTAAAATATGCGTGTCATTTCATTTTTCTGTTTACTAAATTAAGCGAGTGAAATTTGATCAAAGATTCCAAAAAAGAAGAAGAACGTTATAGAAAGGCGAATCGTCATGAAGAGTCTCACTTGCATTTCTTCATCGAAAGAAGTACTCTTGCACCCAACTAGTGAAATCCAAGTTTCGAACAGTGATCTAAGTAAAAGTTATGTTGATAGGCAGCGATCGCAATCAGACTAAAGAGATTTTCGCTGCAAGTCCATTGCTAAGTGAGAAGGCTTAATTTTATATTTTAAATAATTGATTGGAGAGGTGGTCACCACGCGTCACATGACATCATTGTCAGAAAGGAATCAGAAAAGCTTTTTGTACAGCATCATGCACAAAAAACGTCCTTGAACTGTTGCTTGAAATGGCTTTCCAACTGGATCGCACCTGGACAGAAATGTGAAAGCGAAAAAATCGTCAACAGAAAGCGAACAAGATCTTTCCCATCACCATGCTCTGCCAACTATCTAAAAAAGCGTCAAAAATTTTCTAAAAGGCAAATGCTGGAAAACGAGTCATATTGACTTAATCAAAACCTCTGATAGTCTTATCGATCGCTGAGTGTCTCCTGCTTCGAAGATGGTGGAAGACAGCGCTAGTCGGAGATCAGTGTGGTCATTCAAAATGATTTGAATAGTGATTGAAGCACAAGATCCTCTTGCCACCAAGCACAACACTAGCGTCGAGACACATGCTGTTAGTTATTCCAAGAACTAGGGAAGACGTTTCACCTTGAGCATCAAATGCTGTTATCTCAAGCTATGTTGCAGCTTATAAACCCAGATGAAAACCTTTAGAATGTGCACAACTCCCTAAACCAAATCTAAATTCAATTCTTGCATCTCGAAAAAAACATTACGCCTCATGAGCCCACGGATCCGCCGAAGAGAGTGAAAGCAGCAGGACGGTAGCTGAAGAATTTTTATGTGGATTCTTTCGTATTTGAATTTCCCGAAAAGGGTAGTACTTGGATGGAAAGAGTTCCGCTAAGTATACTCCATTATAGGGAATAGCGATCTGACATTTTGATCAGATTCTTCAGCGTTATTTGTGTAATACACTGTCGAGCGTTGTAGTGCTATGGAACTAATCAATGGCGTTCACATGATTCAGTTGTTGATGCATTTTGGCTGCTTCGTGACAACACCTATTTTTAGAATAATAGTTTCGCCAGCATTCAACAAGTTCGGCAAGTTTATTGCGCAAGACATCGTCGGATGTCGGGCAGAATGCAGTTGTAGTCGCATGCTACGATTTGATCTTTAAACGAATCGTTTTCACTGCCCAGAAGAAGTGTAGAACATAATTCATAATAATGATTTCGTTTATTCATTTCGTGTGGTACTCAACTGCATAGTCTCCGACCATCCAATTTGGTATAGGTTTTCCTAAACACTTGATTTACCTAGTTTTTTCGCAAGCTCTCATCCGTTCTACGTGGATCTGGTATAGCTAGCAGGTTTAGAGGTAGCGGTCAATAGTCCATCCCAACGGTTTACCGACTCATCGTGGCTGGGAGGCGTTCCTGGGTGTCGGTCTGCCATGTACAGCGGGGAATTCGTCTCTCCGGCTGGGTATCCCAAGTTGAGGAGTCCGGCGTTTCCATCAGGAAGCCTAGCTAAGAGTAAAGCAATACCAGGATCCGCCACCGTCCTGGTATCAAAGTCCAATGGTGGCAAATCTCCCTCTGATCAACAAAGGCTGCGACTGCCCGTGGTGGTGAAAACATGGGGCAGACTTTGGCCAGGCTGACCTCGGGATTCCAGAAAACCACAATGGATTAACCAGCAACCGAAAAATAATGATTATGCTGGAGTCCGCACAAGCAGTGAAGACGGGCCGTTCAAATTCAATAGTCATCAATGATGAAGGGCAGTTCCCAACTTTCCACATCCTTAAAGCTTTGGACTCTATCATAAAATTTCTAAACCATCTTTGATAATTCATAACAGTTCCTGCGGCAAAAAGCAAAAGTGCACTTCAGGTGGAACAAAACATAAGCTCGAAGGAAAAATAATACAAACAAGAAGCTTACGGAAAAAGGCATCGTAATCTGAAACGGAAAAATCGGCATCAATTAACGAACATGATGATGACCCAAAGCAAGGAAATTTTGTGTTCAGCGTTCAATGTCATTGTTCATTTAAAAGAGCTAGGAAACAGATTGGGTCTAGCTAGTGTCATTCTATTACGCACATTCATTGAGCATAGGACTGGTTTTTTGAGTCTACTCCTGCAACTCACCGGCTTTCTACCATAGCGGTCACTCAAGGTCCCGAGAACCAAGGTGCCAACGAGAACGCCAAGCATTTGCACTGAAATGCTGCTTTTCACCCATCGTCCTTCGGCACATAGATAATCGAACTGAAGACAAAACCAAAAAATAAGGGTGTTAACGAAGTTTCATATTAACATAAAGTATCATCCAGGAATAAAATTCACTCACATCGACATTCAAAGACCTGAATTCATACTGCAAATTTAATTCGCAGTCGCTTAGATCACTTAAATTCTTGTGACTTCCACATACGTCTACAATGGTGGTATTCGGACCATTACATGACACTTTCGGAGCGCTTCCTAGGAATGAAGGTTTGCGATTCTCAAGGTTGCTCGAATTTTTAAAGGTGTCTATGTTGCTTTTCTCGAAGGCCATAACATATACTGATAGAATAAAGCGCACTTTGTAACCATTTTTTTTACATACAAGAACGGCTTCAGTAAGAGGGCGTATAGCACAGTGGAAGTGATGCCCGTTATCATGAACATAGTGGTAGTTCGACTCCTCCCCTTGCCGACCCCTCATCCCTATGGGGTCTGGAAATTGGTACCGGGTTTGTCTAGGAAAAACCCACTCTCTGCAATCCAGCTGAGAGCGCTCCAGCTCTCAGGCCTCCAGAGGGAGTTGCTCGACCAGAATATTCTACGACATTCAAGATGAAATGAAAATCCTCAAGCATGATCCGAAGCTTCACGTAAAAGTTGGAAGACCTTCGTTGATGGTGGACGCGAGGAAGCGAATTGAATGTGAAAAGTGCTGGGATCCGCACAGTAAGTGTGAAGACGGGTCATACAAAATAAAAATGGAAAAATAAAAAACTATTTCCGTAATCAAATAAACAGCAACTACCAAGTTGGTGATGCATTCACACGTAGCAGTTCGCAAGAAATTATCTTCTGCTAACACTTTTTTGAGGATCTCACTCACGAGAAGGATGTCAAACCATCAAGCTATAACACTAGCCTGCTTCTTCGATGCAGGTAAGGGATTAAACGCTGACGAAAACAGATGTGCTTTCTTAGAGATGAAAATAGACTTAGCCAAAAGTCTTTACTAAGTGCTTCTCTAGAGTGACTAAGAAGACTCGCTCAATAAAAACTGAGGACTTTGAAAGTCGGGGGTCTCCTGCAGATTATACGACTGGTATATCAGCCCTCCATTCCGGAAATAAGCAAACGCTTCGTGATAGCCTGGATTCCACAGGTTTCCTAGCATTTTCAGATTGACACAGTACGAGTCGCAATTTCATGTCCGGGGCAATATCGCCTCAAAAACTAATCAAAGATCACTACTATAATGCTGAGATATTTGTAAAACTTCGGACCGCAGGTGTCTGCGGTGGGGAACGAAAGCGCTATTGTCCTTTCCGGGGATAACGTGTTCACCACCACTAACGCTGACGGGTGACTGCAGATGGCAAAAGATCAATAGAACTAGTTGAGAAAGAGGCGAAACGAAGGACCAGCATGGTGTGGTGGTGAACGCGTTCTTCTCCGGGAAAGGACAATAGCGCGTTCGTTCACCACTGCAGACACCTGCGGTCCGGGGTTTTGCAAATATCTCAGCATTATACTAGTCAAAAAGCTAAAAACGCTTGTTTTTAGAACTAGATATTTGGTACGTTAAGAACTTGGTATGTTTTTGGAAAAATCTTACTTTATCGCTTTATTAGAGCAATTTTCTCTTAAAATGTTATTGTAATTTTGAACTACTCCAAAATTCAATTGTTCAAAAATCGAAAGTAGTGTTGAAATTGTTAATCTTTTTAACATAGTCATGACAGGGTTATTTTATCCTACTGAATGACATCTCGCTTGCTCATGCGCTCTAAAATAGCCTAAGAATTAAACGCTTGCTATTATAAAGCTAGATGCAGGAATTTGTTGGCAAGGCCTCTACATTCTAATGGCTTTTATTCGAACAAGTGAAGCTGACTATGAACCACAAGATATGCTTGTTTAAAGTGGAATTGAGAAATTACTTTAGAGGCACAAATGAGTCACATATATCTCACGCCGGTGCTATCAGTTTGTGTCTTGAGAAGGAGTTTCACACAAAAGAAGCTGTGGTGTTAACTTCATCATCAACATCAGTTGTAGTGAGCTACCTGCAAAAATCATGTATATCATATTGCCGGCAGCGCAGAGGAGAAGGAACTCAGAGGTTAGCAGTATCAGACAGCAGTAGTTGCCCATCTTCAGGAAATTGTCCACAGTCTTTGTTGGGTTGGTGTCGCTGAAATCCTCTCCATCTGCGACAGGCGCCGCAGTATACTGTTTCTTCCCTGACATGAACCTCGACTATGTTCGACTGAAAAGACTTACTTATACGATGATCTCACTGGTAAACTAAAATTGTAATCCACAATAGGTCATAAAGTCTTTGATCTTAAGGCGATTCCTGTGAAATTCCAAAACAGTTCACAAACGCTCCATTATTTGTAGGAGTTCCGCAGATTAAGTATGCTCAATCATAACCCTGGTGGGTAATTAGTAAAGCACTAATTATTCACTGCATTATTGAATGGCCTGCTTTTTTTCTACAAGGATTAAACATTATCAGGACAATTTTTCACTGGAGTTATCCTAAACGGGATTGGAAAAACTCTAGACGAAGAGCAGACATGTGAGCAAGAAGGATACATCTAAAAAGAATTTGATACGATGGGCAACATCCACACAATAACAAGACTCATTGAAGTATCGCGAGAGTACAAAAGACCGTTCTGTCTCACTTTCATCGATTTAAGGAAAACTTTGACTCAATTGAAATAGAAGCAGTCATGGAAGTCCTTGATAGTCAGGTAGTCCCTACTCAGTACATAAAGATTCTTCGTGAGCTGTACAAAAATTTCACAACCAAGCTATCACCATTCTACAACGACATTAACATCGACGTTAAAAGAGGGGTTAGAGAAGGCGATACCATCTCGTCAAAATTACTTACCACCATCCTCAAAAACGTCATAGGAACATTGGAATGGAAGAACATGGGACTGAAATTCGATGGTTGGCAATTACACTACCTTCGCCTTACTGATGACATCGTTCTTATAGCAACAAGCACTAGCCGGCCGGAACTATTATTTGCCGACTTTGACAAAGCTTCTGGAAAGATTGGACTTCGGCTAAATCTCACAAAAGCGGTACTCATAAGGAACGATTTAGTTATGTATACTCTTCATGCTCAGAGTAACGAATATCTCCGAATGCTCCAGTTATGCCTATCTAGGTCAAGAAATCAACATGATAAACGACTTAGCACCAGAGTTGAGCAAAAAAAAACGAGCGGTTTGGGAGGCTTTCTTTCAAGAGCATCGAGGATGTAGTGAACAGAACAAAGAACGCCAGACACCGTGCCCACCTTTACGACTTAACTGTGCTTCCTGCCTTAACGTATGCGTCGGAAACCTGGTCGCTGCGTAAGCTGGAAGAAGGTCATTCAGTGTTATTGAACGCTCAGTCGCCAGCGATCAGAAAGCAAGCATGCCATTCTGTGCGCCAAACAATCGAAGATAAGGAGTGCCAGACACTAATGCGTACGAACGACAACCGATGGACAAGAGCCTTTAGTTACTGGATTCGTCGGGATGTCAAACGCACTGCAGGAAGACCACCAACCCGACGGTCAGAGTTCTTCACGAAAATTCTAGAAGAAAGATATGATGCTCAATGTGTCTTTAGAGCGAGCAGAACCCACCGGGATACTCTTGCACGTGACAGGGAAAATTGGAAGATTTACTGGCGCTCGCTCGAGTCACTGGACGATCACCGGAACTACAGCTGATACACGTCATCAGGACAACATTTATACAGCTGTTTTAAGGACAGACAGGGGTAAAGTCGATTTTTCACACAAGCCGACCAGACCAGCAAAAAATAGCTGTTGCGAAATGAAATCATGAGAATTGAACACCGTTGACTCCACGCATCTTTACCAACGAGATGGACTGCATCATCTGTAATCCCATCGAATGTCGAAATATCATCAATAAAATTTCCATTGGTTCCAGACGTGTACTGGAGTTGCTCAGTGGGTTTCGGTTATTAGATGGAAACGGTAAACATCATACGTTTTTTATAAGACCTTTTATTCCCATTATTAAAAACGGTAAAGCTCTCGGCGTCGATCAATTCCTGAGGAATACGCCATGCATTTCACTCCATCAAGCACCGTTTAGAAGTGATTGAATGCGTATCTGGCCGATACAATAACTCGCGGTGGCCTATCGATGTGTCGAGCCAGTGCTGCTGTCCTCCCAGACAATTCTGGTACCAATTTGCTGACCCCGGAGGGATGGAAGGCTTGGTGGGCCATAGGCGCAGATCGATTCCATGTGTGTGTTGCAATGCGCCCCCAACAACTGCGCCACACGAGCCCTATTTCCACTGTTAAGGGTGAGAAAGAAATCATGCTTAGTTCACTAGTCTCTGACATGCAATAGGTTTAGTCCTGAACTGGTTTCCTCATCCCGGCTAGTGCAGCTCTACTAGGCAATTGGACTTGTTGTAGATCACAGTTTTATACTCTGGAACCAATTCCTATCCATGATGAGGTGGTAAACAGTGAGGAACATTATTTAGCGAAATTCAAGTTTACTTATTACACTAAATTGAAATTCTACGTTTCAGGATTTTTCTGAGGATAGTTACACCGGCACCCTTCTATTGAGGTCGTACTCGTAGATATGGATCAGGAGCAATGAGAATGCCGGATGGAATAGGGTGTCGGTGTCCAGCTATTTCAACTTCCAGAGTATTGATTGCTTTACGTTTGATCGGTTGGAGAACAAGAGGGCATAAATGTAATAGTGATATCAAAAGGTTGAAGAAATAAAGATGACTGAACCAGTGGAAATGTTGCCACGTGTTCAGAAATTTGTGAGCAAAAAAAAACCATAGGAAGGACTTCAGTGCCTTGGACTTGACCAAAATCTTGGCTTTTAAGTAACATTTTCGATTTCGTTTTCCAACTTTCGGTTTGTTTTGGCTCGCCATTCCACTCAATAGTGATTCGTTTCGAAATTTTACACTTTCCTGTTGTGTAGATCTCTAATGCAACCTTATTCCTTCCAAGAGTGGACACTTTTAAAAAACAGAACGTGTTGTAGAGTGTAACTGCTACGGCGAAGGTGTAAACACTTTCAGAAACTCACGAGAGATATTGTATATTGTGATCTAAGCTAAGAGAATTCCTTTTGATCCTTGCTTCCCTAGAGAGAAAAGTGCGGTTTCCAAGAGATTCAATAAAGAGCAAGAAATACATAAGAGCTCCATAAATATAAGGAGCTCCTTCACTAAATCACTGAAACAAAAGACAGCTTAACAAAGTGTGAAGGAGGCCTGTAATCGGTTCTACCCCTGAGCTCTAAAAAGAAATGTTGTGGAAAAAGTGAAAAGAACTGCTTGCTGAAGAATAACTTCGAAAAAGCTACAGTGAAACTCTCGGAAGAACTTCGATTTCGGAACGGTGCTGATGAATTTGGAGACTATATGGAAGTACATTTTCGACTCCAATGCTGTCTG